CTCCGGACTGACCACCTAGACTGCGCTTCACACTACCCCACGTGGCAGCGGGAGTTCCCGGCGGCTGCCGCCCGCTTCCGCCCCGGTGGCTTTGGCGAGAACCTCGTCTTTGCGCGCCTCAACGAGCGCAACATCCACATAGGCGACGTGTTTGCCGTGGGGCCCAAGATCAACGGCAAGACGCACACGGGCCTCTCAAACGAGGATGTTCAGGGCGACTGCCTCTTGCTCCAAGTCAGCCTGCCGCGCCAGCCCTGTTTCAAGCTCAACCACCGCTTTGGCTTGCGCAACTTTGCGCCCAACACGTGGAAGACTAGCCGCACGGGGTGGTACTACCGCGTCCTGCGGCCCGGAACGGTGCAGGCGGGCGACGAGGTGCGGCTGGTGCGGCGGCCAAACCCGGCCTGGCCGCTGGAGCGCGTGCAAGAGTATCTGCATCGGTCGCCAAACGAGATGGCCATGGTGGAAGAGCTGGCGGCGATTGACGAGTTCGGCGCCGAGTGCAAGAACCAGTTCAAGAGCCGACTGGCCAAGCACGAGGCGCAGCAGCGCAAGAAGGCGCGGATGGCGGAGGGCGGCGACGGCAAACCGGACGACAAGTGGCTGCCGTTCCGCGTCGTCGAAAAGACAAAGCAAACACCCCGGATCATGTCGTTTGTGTTCGAGGCGGTCGACCCGCCCAAACCTGACGCCGACCCAAACGATGACGAGCTGGATCTCGGCTCGCATGTCAGGCTGCGGCTGGGCGGCGGCAGTGATGGTGGGGATCAGAAAGACGGGGGTCTTGTCCGCTCCTATTCCATCGTCAAGGGTAACAAGCGCCGTTTCGAGCTCGGCATTGCCTACGACGCGGCCACATCGCGCGGTGGATCCCGCTTCCTGCACGAGGCTGTCTCTGTCGGCAGCATTGTCCATGCCAGCGCCTTTGCCGCGGGTGTGCCCATCGTGTCCGCCGCCAGCCACCACGTTTATGTGGCGGGCGGCGTCGGCATCACGGCATTTTTGGCCCACCTTGAATCACTGACGGCCATCAACTACAGCTGCGTGCTGCACTATGCTGTGCGCAGCGCCGAGGAGGTTGCCTTTGCCGAGCGGCTCAAGGCACTCGGGCCGGACGTGGTGATTGTCTACGATGCGTCCAAAGGCCAGCGCATGGATATTGCCTCGATTGTGAGCAACCTGCAGTGGAACGCCCACATTAGCTTTTGTGGCCCGACGCGCATGATGGACGCGGCCCTCGAGGCGACACGTGCGTCCTCGCTGAGCGACAACGACGTGCACTTTGAAGCCTTTTCGGCCGACACGACGGGTGATCCCTTTGACGTTGTGGTGCGAAGGGCAGAAGACGCCTCCAACGGCGACAACGCAGACGGCGACACGGGCGACGCGCGGGCGGCCAAAACGCTGCGGGTTGACGAGGATGAAACGCTGCTGGAGGTGCTGCAGCGCGAGTTTGGTGTCGATGCAGTGGCGTCGTCGTGCGAGGTGGGCAACTGTGCGACATGCAAAGTCACAGTGTGCGCCGGACGCATCGACCACCGCGGCACAGCATTGACAAGCGAAGAAAAGGCTGCGGGCAACAGCATGTTGTCGTGTGTCAGCCGCGGCATTGGGCGCATCGAGATTGAGATTTGAGTAGTCTTACGCACACGACAATACGTTTGTTAGTATATTATATATTTTTGATTATATAAAGTGGTGTCTATGGTTTGTCGGGCGAATCAATGTAGATCCTGGAGGGAAGACGTAGTCTAAAGTTCTTGTCCAAATGAGGCGGGTGAGAGGGGTTACTCGAACGTTTAGTGTTGCATCCGCAGTCGTGTTCCAAACTGCACATGCACCCGCACCCGCACCCGCCTCGGCCTCGTCACGTCAGTCGACGTTACACCATATCTCACACCGGTGTAAAGTGTCGATGTCACAGCCATTTCCGTCGGACTGCATTACTGCCCAACGCGGTGGCAATTATCAACCATCGACCATTCGCACAGAAGCACACGACATCCGATGGCCGCAACCCGACGGTCCTGTTTCTAAGACGTCGTGTGTTGGAGGGTGCTACTTCGTGCCCGTCACGGCAGCCGCAGTCCCGCTGGAGTGATTTTCTGTGTCAATTTCAGCCCCAAATGTTTGGGCAGGTGCAGAGACAGGGCCACCCGTCGTCTTCTCAGACGTAGCAGGTGCATCCGCCAGCACGGCCCCAGCGTCCATGGCAGAGTTGTGCTTTGGCTTGGCCGGCGGACCGACACGAAACTCGCCCACGCCGAAAGCGACACTGAGAGCGCCCACACCACACCAGATGGATACTACCCAGGCCATCGTGGCCCAGCTATAGTCGGCGTGGATGTAGCCCGCTATCAAGCTGCCGCCGGCGCTGCCGAGCGCAAAGGCTGTGTTGAACAGGCCATAGCCGACGCCGTAGACGCCCTTGCTGCCCCAGACACCCGGGCTGCGCTCCTCTTCGGCCTCTATCGTAAAGCTGATCTCGGCCATGATCGGCACGTTGGAAAAGGTCAGAGCAACGCCCGTCAGCGACAGCAGCACGCCAAGAAGGACCTTTTGCTGGTAGGTGTTGTGGTCGACGAACCGCAGGCACACAAGCAGCGGGACGAGCGCGACGAAGCCGACGAGAGAGAGCCACTTGGCACCCCAGCGGTCGGCGAGCACACCGACGGGTGGCGACAGGACAAGCGGCGGGATAAAGAGCGCAAAGAAGATCAGGCCCGCAGCCGTCGATGACCAGTTGAACGTCTCCTGCACATACAGCGGCAGCACCGTATCGTACGCCGTCATGATGCCGGCGTCAATCAGAACGCCGAGCAGCGCAAAGATCAGGCGGCGCGAACGCAAAAGGATGCAGATACGCTGAAAGGTGCTCTTCTCGGGCGGCGTCGGGGGCAGCCCGGTGTCACTAACATGGCTGACAACGCGGCTGGCATGGGCAACGGCGGGCGTCGCGCCCGCAGCACCCCCAGCCGCCTCCTCGTCGGCGGTGGGCGGCCGCGGCAGATCGACAGGTGCGTCTGCGGTACATGCCTCCGCCTTGAGCCACCGGCACGCAATCTTCTTTTCGATCAGCAGCAACCGCAACAGAATGTCCAGCACAATCAGGCCAAACGCCACATAGTAGACGGCATAGTAGCCGGAGCCCGCGTAGACAGCGCCGCCAATTAGTGGCGCAAACAGCAGGCCGCCCGACAGCGAAATGGCTACATAGCCCATGGCGAGGCCGATGCGCCGGCCCATGGTATCGGCCAACAGCGCAAGACCCACGCTCCACACGACGGCGGCGCTGAAGCCCTGCAGGACACGGCCGGCAATGAAGACGCCAATGCTGCGGCCGACGCACAGCAAGACAGTCGAGGCGCCAAGCGCAATAAGGCCCAGCAGGAGCGGCCAGCGGCGCGACGAGGTGTGGTCAGCGTAGACGCCGGCAATGGGGCTGCCCACGAAGAGGGCAATGCCGTAGGTGGCGACAAGGATCGTGTTCCAGCGCTGCAGGTCGTCGTGCGGGATGCCGGCGCGCTCGGTCAGCGCATACGGCATGACGGGCACAATGAGCCCGTAGAGGAAGATGTCGGTGAAGATGGCAAAGCAGACACAGCCGACGATAAAGTAGGTCGACGAGCGATACTGGACACCCCAAGGCGGCTTGTCGGGCACAGAAGGCCCAGCCTCAGCCGGCCGCTGCCACGGCAGGCATCGGCGAAGCGGCGACATGTTGGTGTCGTCTGTCGCTCGAGGAGTAGGGAGCGGAGGATGTTGGTCAAAGGCTAGGGCAATTCAGCCATCAAGGCCGTTCAAGGTATGGACAAGCAGTTGAGGAGGGTGGGCAGCTGCATCTCGGACACTCGATAAAGGCAAAAGAGCGAACGAGAGAACTAATATAAGTGATCAAACAATGGGACACAAAACAGCGACGACGAGATGTGGAAAGGCTGAACGAGGTCAATTCAGCTTCACAATCGATTGGGGAGCGACCGGTTTTTCGCAGGCTGTTCGTATCATCAAAAATGGGCGTTGTGTGTGCTGCCGACCCCGGCTCAAAAGTTGAACAATGTGAAAAAAAGTGGGAAAACAAAGGGAAATGTCCCTTGGAGATTTCAAAGAAGTCTTCAAACGAAACAAATCCGCGGGCATAAGAACGGATCCGTAAGACAGGGACGGCGGCTGGGGTCCAAGGGGAAGAATGCGATGACAAAATGCCCCCGAGCTGAAAAATCAGCACCTCAAACCGTTTTGGCACTTAAGCTATGATGTCCGGCGTTGCATCCAGTCTTGGAGTTGCAGGCCGGCTGCAAGGAAGGTTTTACCGTTTTGGGCAAAATAGATCGACCACTGGCGGCCTGGATGCTACGGCGGTCGCCCAGTGCATCTCGGCTTTTGGCGGCTTGGCTCACCGGCTTACAATTCGACAGTGCCATCCGTTATTGTTCATTTTTGGCGAGGCTGCGCGTCGATGCTTCGTAGATTCTTTCCGAAGTCGGAAATCGAGCGGATTGCGGATTACAAAGAATACGCGTTGAAAACGCTGTTCAGTTTTGTGCGATACCATTGCGTGTTGATCCAAGTTATGCTGGATGTCGGTGTGGTGGGCCATGGCCAAGGCTGATGGAGCAAGAAAACTAAATGAAGTCAAAAACATCGACGTTCAAGATGTTTGAGAGGTTCGCGATGATGACAAACATTTCTCGGCAGCCGTAAGACGTTATGGTCGATCGCACCTCCCTCGTTGTGAAACCAAAACGTCGAAATTGCATGTCGCTCCTTCCTTCTGGGTACTGCGATGTCGGGGCTGCTAGGCACGTGCCACTGGCCAGCCAGCGATTCTTTCAGCCACTGTAACGGCCCCACTGAAAAGTTTATCTTATCGCCGAAAAAGTTAACCGTCCCAAAAAGTGCACCAAAATGCTTCAGTCGTCTGGACAGACTTTTGCTTCGCCGTCAGTTGACAGCCTTGCCGCGAATCTCCGACACACACACACACACACACACACACCATGGCATCAATACCAAAATCGTTTGGCGATTATGCCGTTCTGCCCGTCCAGCTACCCCAGCTGCCGTCGCTGGCCCACCTCCCGCCTGCCACCCACTTCCTCTACGTGCGCCGCAACGCGCCCAAGATTGCAACGGCCGATGACGAGCGCAGCCTGTTCGTGGCTAACGTGCCCGTGGACAGCACAGAAGAGCACTTCCGGGCGCTGTTTGCGTTGCTGGTAGGCCCAGGCCGCTTCGAGTCCATCTCGTTTGAGGAGGAGCGGAGGCGAGCTGCCAAGGCGAGACCCGACAACGACAGCGACGACGACGACGACAACTACGGTTCCGAGTCTGACTTTGACGATTTCGATGCTGTCCTGCCCCGCCAGGCAGCGAGCCTGGCCGATCTGCAATCGCGGAAACGGAAGCGGGAGGGCGGCCACGGCGGCAGAGGCGGCAGAGACGGCAACCCGGACGACAGCAGCAAGGTCGCAGCCAAGCAGCTGCGGCAGCAGGCCACTCTCCCGACAACGTGGCCACGCTCACTGCGCCGCAGTGGAAGCACGGCCGTGGCCCTCTTTGCGGATGCCAAGAGCGTGGACGTCGTGCTGAAGGCGGTCGCCAAAGCTCACAAAGGCTCGCAGTACCCTGAGTGGCCGCCCCTCGAGGGCTCGTCTCTCGGTGCACCCTGGCTGGCCGGCCACAACCGTCTGGCGTACCCGAACCGCGAGTCCCTGCGTGAGTCCGTGGACGCCTTCTTTGCGCTGTTCAATCAGCAGGAGGCTGCAGCCGCCGATCTGGCACGTCGCCTGCGCAATGTGCCCGATGAGGACGGTTTCGTGACAGTGACACGCGGCACGACGGGCGGCGGTGGCCGTGGCGCACCTGCTCGGCAGCAGGAAGCGGCGTCGGCGCGGGCCAAGCAGCTCGCCAAGCAAGAGCGGCAGCGCCAGGACATGACCAACTTCTACCGGTTCCAGCTGCGCGAGCGCAAGAAGGAAGAGCAGCTGGATCTGCAGCGCAAGTTCCAGGAGGACAGCAAGCGGGTGGCGGCCATGCGGGAAAAGCGCGGCAAGTTCAAGCCCGAGGCGTGAGGCGAGGGCAGCTGACATGACACAAGATTTTAACGTGGTATGTTCTTTTGTCACTTTCGTTCTTTGCCTATGGTCTTGTCTTCTTTTACCCGCACGCTGCATGATGACGCCGCGGGGCCAACGAAGCACGGGCTGCTCACGAAGACGAGCATCGCAAGATGCTCGAGTGTGCAGCCGGTGGCTGCCGAAAACATCCGCGTTAAACTACAATCTTCTCAACATCGTCTGAAGCAGTGTTGTACTCAGTGCCGGATATCTTTGTCTTGGTTTTGTTTACAGGCCCAAGTCCCATGCTAACAAGACGCCACCAGTGCTTGGAACGCACAGACAGCAATATCGCCGTCGCGGGGATATCGAGCTTCCCAAGACCCAGCAACCCAATTCACGGGACGCGAAGCTTAAGCGCTGTTTCGCCACGGACGGCTCGGCGTGAGAGCGGAGGCGACGTCTGTCTCCCGTGTGAGATGCGTCTGTCGGGGCGGTGGAGGTGGTTGTGTTGGCTGTAGTGGGAGGGGATCACTGGAACAACACGGCTGCGACAGCACCTATTGTCTTAGTGGTCGTTTAACCTGCATTAGGTTCGCTAGCTGCCGTGTCTCGGATGGCAATCGCGACCATAAGGGAGCCTTTATTTACTTCGTACAACTGGGCGAGAAATGATAGGCAGAGAAACCATTGACTCCAGCCGGTTCTGGTCCACAGCCCAAGCATACAATAACTCACGAAATAAGGAGCTTACAATGCATCTCTTTTGACCACAGAGCGAAAATGGGAGAGAAGAAATCCTACCGAGAATGTGGCGAAATGAATAACAAGAATAAATGCGACGTAAACAAATGCCATCACCAAAGCGATGACAGCGTGCCACGTGACGTGTCCGAAACGCTGGCACGCAGTGGGTCTTCCCGAGTTTCCACAGCAACACTAGCGCCGGCAGGAGCCAAAACGAAACAAAACACGCAGCTGCGGACGAACCGAGCATTGGCACCTGCCCTAGCTCGCTGTTTATGATGCAAGGGTGGAAGGACCGACACGGAACAACAACAGACGAATGACGGGAAGGTGCGCCCTGCAGAAAATAAGAAACTCCCTCGCTAAAAAAAAAAAAGAGAAAAGAAAAGAAAGAGGGGAAACGCATCCAGTCACGGCACGTTCTCTTCAACGCTCACCACACCACCACTTTCACCCACCACACATCGATTGCAGCTGCAAACTGCGAATCGTGCCTGCAGACTTTCGAAACCGTTTCGATACTTTTGGTGTTTCTGCTTTGATGCTTTCTTTCCTCTTGTTTTGATACCCCTCCAGCGACGACCCTCCCATGCATCCGAATTCGCCATGACAGACATTGAGAACCTAAGGACGGCCTCGCTGTACATCAACAACCAGCTGCTTTCACGCGGCTTGTTACGCGATGGCCAGACCATTGACTTTGCGGACCCGGCGGGACGAAACCGCAAGAGCAAGGAGAAGGCCGGTGGTGCGACAGACGGCAACACCGACGAAAAAGCCGGCGACAACACGGCTGACACCATGTCGCGCGTCATCAGCGTCGTCAACGACCTGATCCTGCGGCGAGACGTAGGTCTTGGCCCTTGCTTTCTTTTCATGTTGATCGTACTAACCATGCATACAGCGTGACGCCGAACACCGCGAATCCCTCTCCACAGCCCTCCGCACCGTCCGTGCCGAATCGCTCCGTCAAAGCAACGACCTCCAGCGCGCCATCGAGCGACACGCTGAAGCGCAGCGCCGCGCCGACTTGGGCGAGGCGGCCGAGGCGAGCCTGCGGGCCCAGCTGGTGGCGGCGGATGCGGCGAACCGGAAACTGCGCGAAGAGGCCGCACGGATGCGGCAGCAGGTGGCACAGACGCGCGCGTCATGCGCCAACGAGGTGCGCAAGCGCGACCGGCAGATTGACGGCCTGAAAAAGGCCGTGTCGGACGCCGGGCGTGCCCGCGGCGAGCGGCGGAGTCCTGCGATTACCACGATCACCATCTCGGGCGGCGACTCTTCTTCCTCGACAGTCCATCATCCGCAGCACACGCCTCGATCGGCCCTGGGCTCGCTCCAATCCACACCGACGGCCCGCAGCAGCGCGACGAACGCGGCTGCCGACGCGACCACCACCTCGGAATACGACCTGCGCAGCGAGACCAATGCCTTCCTGGCTGACCTGGCCCGCGGTCTCAGCGACGACAACGAGATGCTGCTGGACTTGGTGCGCCACACAAGCCGACGCCTCCAGGCCATGAGTGGTTACGTCCCGCCCGGGGAGGAGGACGCAAGGGGAGCCCCGGGTGAAGGTGCGACAGCCACGAGCATGGTGGACTGCGCCGCGCTGGCAGCAGAGATGGAGGCCGTGCTCGAGCACCTGCGAACGATCCTGACAAACCCGTCGTTTGTGCCGATCGAGGAGGTGGTCCAGCGCGAGTCGGAGATTGGCCGCCTGCGCGACGGCTGGGAGAAGATGGAGGGCCGGTGGAAGGAGGCGGTGCATCTGCTGGATGGCTGGCGGAAACGCATGGCTACGAGCGGGCGGTCAGTCAACATGGAAGAGATCAAGATGGGCCTGCGGCTTAGCCCGGTGCGCGTGCGTAACGTTGCCGAAACATCGCTTGGTCTCGACTTGCGCATGCCGCCCTTGCAGCTAGGGCTGAACGCCGTGGACGAAGAGGCGGAAGATGGCGAAGAGACAGGGGGCTACCAAGGCGGCGAAGACGGTCAAGGCGACGACGACGATGATAAGAATGTGGGTGTACGGAACTGGCCGCCATTGGGCCGCACGCCCAGCCCGGCTGAGACGCTACACTTGGTACCTGCCCCTGACTATGCCCCTGGTCATGAAGGTCTGAGCGACAGCGAGTCGGATACCAGCAGCACCTTTGCAGACGATGTCGACGACGACGAGGGCGATTTCGACGACGACGGGCCGAACGTGCAGATTATCGAGCAGTCCATCATGGTCCCATCGCTCGAGGACGTGTCGTCAGCACCGGTCGAGTTCTCGCGGTCAACGCCCTCACCAACGCCGCCGCCACCTGAGAAGCCAGTTCTGTCAAAGGTCACGGCAGCGGCCATCAAGGAGAAGGAGGCAGAAAGAAAGCCGGCTAAGCCAAAGGCCGCTCAGGCAAAGGGGAACCAGCCTGGCCTGCGGCCATCACACTCGGCCGGTAACCGTCAGGGTACAAAGGCGTCGTCCTCGTCGGATACTACGAAACAGACCGCGAAGGCGACAACAGGAGCAGCACCAAACACTACCACCACCACGACTGCAGCCGTAACCCGCGGCAGACAGCGACCAGGCGAGGTAGAAGACACGGCTAAAGAACGCAGACAAGTGCGTATTGCAGCAGCTCCAGCTACAGCTGCCGCGGCCGCTGCCGCGGTAGCAGAAAAGCCAACCGCCAGGCCTGCAGCTCCTCGGGTTGTAGCCTCCGCGACGACAACGATAACAGGTCTCAGCAGAGCCAACTCGGCGAGAGCAACCGGTGGCCGTCCCCTGCCGGCAAGACAGGCTGGCAAACCAGTAACGACGACAACGGCAGCAGCTTCTCAGCCAGTGTCTACGCTGGTGCAGGAGAAGCAGCGTCCGGCTTCGGCAGCTTCGCATGCTTCGGAGGCATCGGCCGCATCCACAGCCGCGTCGGAAGACAGCGTGGCACTTGTCCCCGCGACCGGCTCTGTCACAACGGCCGCAGCAGCCCCAACAACACGACCAGTGTCGTCTCTCGCGTCTCGCAAGCTGACAACAGCCGCGTCTGCTCCAACGGCGCCAACAACAGCTCGGCCACGACGGGACCGTGTGCAGAACAGGAATGCTAGCGATGAACAGACAGCTGCCGCGCCCACGACCACGGCCTCCTCCTCTTCCTCCTCCTCCGCGAATTCTTCGGGACAGATGCCGCCACCATCTGTGCCGTTAACGACCATTGCCACTGCGGCCAACCGCGCGCGCAGCCGGTCACCGATCAAAACGGCCGCTGCCGGTGCGTCCGGTGGCTCGGGTGGTGCGGGCACCACGGCAGGACCAGGGGCTGTTGTCAGTGTCACGTCCCGCCTACCGCTCCCAACAAGCGCAAATGCAAATGCACCACCCCCGGCCAGCCCGGCCCTCAACATGGCCACGATTGCGGCCAAGCTGGCGGCATCGGAACGCGAAGCGGACGCAGCGCGCGTTCGCGCCAAGCTCAAGGCGGCGCGCAGCGGTTTGGCCGGTGCCAAGGCCAAGGCCGTGCCGGCCGTCGAAGCTGCTCCGGCTGCCGCCTCGGCTGCGGCAGAGACAGAAGCCCATGATGTTGACCCGGTGAAGAAGACAGCTGCAGCAGATGAAGCGGCCGAGGCACCCCTGTCAACATCAGTAAACTCCATCAACGGCGAGCCGGCCCAACAGCCCCTCCGCAAGAAGCGCGACCCCAAAGACAAGGACCAGCGGCGAGCTAGCAAGGCGGCTTCGCGGCGGCGCAGCACTCTGAACCCGTGGGAGCTCAAGAGCCTGATGGCAGGCAGCGTCCAAGGTGCAGCACCGGCACCGGCGACAGCGACAGAGACCGCAGAGACGGTTGCTGTGGAGGCTTTATCGTGAGGTGAAGCCGGGAGGTAATTGTAATTACAAGTGTGCACAAACAGGGGAGGTTGAATGGCGTTGTGTGTGTTTTTGGTTTTGATCTTGCTTTTTATTTTGGATTATTGGTTTTCCCCTATTTTCTTCTCCCATGCCCCCTTTCATCGAGGGCGCTTCTGCATTTGACGATGACGGCTGTTTTATTCATGAATTTGATGAAGTTTTCTTGTCCACAAGTTCATTTCCACGTAGAACGTATCTAAAGCGTAATCTCTGCTGATCATGCTTTCATACTTTGTCGTCACTCTCATAAATCGTTGTCCCTGTCGGCAACCTCTTCCGTCCGGTCCGGCCATGGAAAGACGGGTGGCCGGTAGTCGAGATGCCCAGGTGGAATATGGAGGAGATGGCCGGCTATCAGTTTCGTGGCCCGCTGCTGCCAAGTCCCGTGCAACATCCCTTGATAAATGGTGCGCAGCTTGAGGTGCTGGCTCATGTCAATGTCTTTTTGGTTTTTGTCCTCGGCCTCAGCAGCTGTCCGCGCGTCGGCTGCGGCATATCGCAGCGCCTGCTCAACAAGCGCCACGACAAACCGCCCACCCTCGCCCCCGTCATTGGCCCTGGCCGCGTACCGCCAGGCGGGATACACGGAAATGGTCTCGACATTGCGGAACTGGCGGACCCAGTCGAGGAAGATGCGGTCGCGAATGAGGACATCCGATCCAGCAGACGTCGAGCTGCAGTTAAAGTCGTAAAGGCCGATCGTGCGAATACGCTCGGGGAAGGGGATCCGCAGGCAAGGCGGAAGATCTTGCATAAAATTAGAATCAATATCGCGGACATTGAGTTCGAGGTGGGCGAGGCAGCCAGCGACACCAAGACTAGGCTCAATGAGCTGGAACATATGCACAGGATTGACGACTGGACTGAGACACCGGAAGGACTCCAGGTGCTGCAGCGGACGGACGTCACCGCCCGTCATAATTGTTGTGAGGTTTGGGTCGTAGCGGTCACCAAACATTATGCGCTCAGCGAGAAACTCTTTGTCCGATATAATATCAAGGCACCGCAGACCTGGCGGCAGGGGAGGGAAAATAACAAAGCTGGCAATGCCCATTGACAGCAATGACGAGCCGTCAAGCTGGCATCGAGGTCCAATAACAAGGGTATGTAAATGCTGGAAGGCTTCCGTAAGCCGTCCAAGAAGCTTGTCCTCGGCGGCGGTTGGAATATTGCGGTGTACGTAAAAAGTAATGTCGTCCAGGTACAGCTGCTGGAGGCACGCCGACGCTTCACAGACACTGGTCGTAAATTCGAAGCCGAGTTTGTCGGCTCCCCATTCACTGGTGAGCAACTTGACGTGTCGCAGACGAGGTAATCTAAAAGCAAATGGGCCACCCACGAATACGCCGTTTAGCTCAATGCTCTCTAGGGACTGGCTGGCCCATGGGACAAGGCATCTCGCCACGGCCAGGTCTTTGCTGTACTTGACGGTGTGGAGTGTTAATTTGCGGCATCTGGACACGGTAGGAAGGGGAGGGAGAGGCGCGGGGCCGAGGCGAGCCTCGATAGCTATTTTCTCGTCTGTGACAGTCACAAGTGCTGTCGGCGCGATCGAATCAAAAGTCGAAACGAACTCGTCGTATGGCCACGTCCACAGCTCTAGGCTCTCCGTATCTTTAAAATGGTTGAGGGCCAGTGTGACAAACCGTGCCGTCCGCAATGGATCTCGAGAAGATGCAAAGTTAATGCTGAGGTGATCTGTTCTGAGGTCCGGCATCTGCCGCAGGAGGCTCTGCAGACCTTTCACGGGAGCCTCAGACCATCCATGGAAGCGAACCTGGGCGGGCCGAAGACGAACACGCTTCAGAACAAGCGCCCACCGCCTGGAAACACGGCGACATGCCAGGATGTCGGACAGCGACAGGTGCCGGAAAATGGCCTCGACGGTCTCGACGGGCAGGTCTGGGAGATAGTCATCGTGGCTGTACTGGCGGCAGCAGCGCGCGAGCACCTGGGCCAGGTCGCTGGCGGCGTCGCCGTAGGCGCGCACATTGTGCAGGCCGTGCGTGTAGAGGCAGCGCGCCGTGAAGCGGGCCTGCTTTCGCTCTCGCCTCACATCGTCTTTCAGGCGTCCATCCTTCTTTTTGGCAGCCGTCAGCGCCAGCACTGCCTTGGCCACATGCAGGTAACCTTCCGCGTGTTGGGGAGCCAGGTCCATGTACCACTGCCCGATGCGGCTGACGTCCTCGTGGCGCCCCAACTTGCTAGCCACAGCGGCCAGGCGGTCCAGCGCGGCCAAGTGGTCGGGCTCTGTGCAGTGCAGGCGCCCTGAACCACATGTGCACACCGGGTTTCTTGTAGCCAAGTTGTACACGGCCGCCAGGTCCAGTTCGGAGATGGGGAACGGCATATTTTCTCCTTCTGCGGGCGTGGGAGCGCCAAAACCCAGAGACATTGTTTGTGGCCGCCGCGTTTGGGCCATGGCGACAAAGTCCCGGCAAGAGCACTGGCCGACAGGGTCGATGGCGTCCAGCGGCACACCAGCGTCTTTAAACTGGCTTCGGAGCTGCGCATGGCAGACGCACGCAATGAGGGCCCGCGTCAGCAGGCTATACGCGTCATCGAGGCGGCCCTTGTCCTGCAGCGTGATGGCCTTGTCGAGTATCAATCGCGTCCTTGTTGGGCCTGACGACGATGTGTTCAGACTCGATATCGTGTCCTGAAACGAGAGCATCGTGGGTTTCTGCGTTCCGTCTAGTGACGCCGTTGCCTTGGTTCTCCCAGTGGCCTCCTCTGTTGTCGTCCTCGTCCTCGTCGTCATCTCTGTCGTCACCTTCGCTTTGGTCTCAGCCTTGGTCTCCGTGGCTAGACTGAAACCCCGTGGCCGCGGTCGCTTCGCGTCATTCGTAGAACCCGTACGGCTGCCGCTTCCACGGCCATCGTTGTCGCTCTCATTGCTGTCATTCCGAGCTTGAATCGACGGTGTCGACTTGCGCTTGGGCCTTGTCTTTGGCGCCAAGGCTGCCGCGAGAAACGCGTCCATGGCGTGATGGGCGTGTTGTTGTTCGCGACCATGCAAATATGGCAACGAATCTTTCTGTCGCGTGTCTTTGAGTGACGAAGGGGCCGCCTCGCTCCCAAATGCATGCACTGTCTGTTGTTGTATTCAGGTCTTTGTATTTCAGGTCACGGGAAGGCTACTGGTACGTGGATGTTGGGAAGGTGCAATTAAGGAGAACGCGCCCTGTGGTGGGTCATGGCGCTAAATGGGACACTATTAAGGAAGGCACTAACAGGCTGAAGAAGGATCGACCAACAACAAACCACATTTCAACTTCACGCCATATCTTGTCTACAAATGAGTGACAATACATTACATTTCGGCATCGTCTACATTGCCTCGATGACCACGTCTCTGGGTGACGTCCAAATAATGTCCGTGCATTTTTATTCTCTTATTCTTCATCCGCAACTCCCCCCTTATCCCGCTTCCTTCCTACCCAAGTCATCTCCGCCTCGTAGAGCCAGACGAAAAGATCAGAAAACGGTAAACTTAAATATATCGCCCAACCGTCCATCACCCACATTTCCCATGTTGCTCTTCGATCCGCCCCGTTGTAATTCAAAAAGAGTTAGTCAACGATGAATATCAATGTTTCATAGATCGTACAGAATGCTGACTTACAACAGCACCGATCGGTGCCTGCACTTCTTCCCAGATCGTTATTGCGCACAGAGACGCTATGAGACCTAGCCGAGTATTTGAGATGACCGTTGTTAGCATATGTCAATCGTGAAAACAAAAAGTGGCAAACAAAACGCTGCGAGGGGTGGGAAGACCTTGGAGTGGAAGACTGCAAGGCCGTCAACTTACTTTTTTAGGGAAAAACCGGCCCCAGGAGGTTCACCCCGCAGGATGCCTCCTGGGCCGGAAAACCCACCGCTTTTCTGTGGTGAGATGGTGATACTTGCGTTTGTCGTGACAGTGAACTGGTGTGTCCCTGCCCCTTCTGGTAGTGGTGGGTTTTTCTGGCGTGGTAGCCGCTGGGAAGCCAAGCACATCAGACGGCCTCAGTCCTGGTCTCGCCCGCTACTAGGATCACCTCTAGGCTGGGCTGAGAATCCAGACTGTGTGCTATCAGGAGGTACGAGGGAGCAAGCTCCCCCGGCTCCCAATGTGAGGGCCACTAGGGTCCGACGCCCTCGCCCTACCTCCAAGCCGGTCATATCCCAGGCAACAAGATTCATTCTGCACAAGGAGGTTTTCCAAAAAGAAACCCAGACAACAAAAGCAGCCGCCAAACGCCAAACGCCGAAAGCAAAACAAATGCAAACGCAGAAGTGCAAAACGCCAAACGCCAAACGCCAAAAGCAAAAAAGCAGCGCAAAACGCAAACGCAAGAAGTTGAAGACAGGAGGAGTTGGTGTGGCCGAGATGCATGCCCCAGACGGGTCAGAAGACCGGGAGGAGAAAGTCGAGATTGCCAACAACTCCAGAGAGAGGAGGGGGGCATGCCAAAGGCCGAGAGTTGCGCGCGCGCCCGAGAAGTGACCGGCCGAGAAAAGGGTGGGTGGGCGACTTTCGAAAGGCGCTTCAAATGCCGCTTGTGCGAGGGCGGAGTGTGAGAGTCCAAGCGCCCAGAAGTGGTAGGAGAGGTGACAATGAATGCACAAGGTAAATCGAGCGTGGGCGCGCGCGCAGAGGGAGCGGCGCAGAGACCAGAAGGGATGGTCCAGAAGGTGTAGAGGGGGCCGCTCCCAAAAGAGCTCAAGAAGCTGGCTGCTCCAAGTGAAAGGCAGGTCCAGCCAGGCCGAAATGCATGCCGGGGCCGGGTAAGAAAGACCGGATAGGCAAATGGCGAGCTGGCAAAGGCGAAGTGCCCAAGGCTCAGGAATGCTTTAAGATGGCAAAACCGAGATGCCACCGCCTGAGTGTGGTTGTGATGCGGCGTGCAAGTGGCGAAAAGAGCTAAAGTTGCTCACGCGCGCAGCGGTCCATCTGCCTCAGATGGGGTTTGGATGTGTCGTCGTCGAGGTCGAACTGCTCGGAGAATCGGTCGAGGAGCTGGGAGAATGTAGACAACGCAGGTTGGTCGATGAGGCAGAGGAGCTGGCCAAAGAGATGGCAGAGAAGTTGACCAAAGAAATGGCCGAACAACTGGCAGTCGAACTAGATGTAAAGCTGGTAGGGGAGGTCATCCAGATGAGTATTCTGGCGAAGACGGTCTGTCAGATAGGATCGAGCACACGCGAAGCGTGGAACGGGTGCTGGCACACGACAAAATGTCGCCGCTGCAACGATTCGACGACAACGGGGTTGGAAATAAGCCCGAGCTGAACAGAATCCGAAGACGCAAGTGGTAAAAGAAATACTCGAGACGTCGTCTACCGGGGTGCGCGGAGCGGTCCATCGATATGGACGGGGGGTGGGTTTCTATCGAAAAGAGGCACGGAAATCCGGCTGCATGCGAGTGCAATAGATGTTAGTCAAGGGCAGCACGATGGTTGAATAGCGAAAAGGGTACAAAACGCTGGTGCTTGCGAAGACTTACCGCTCAGTTCGGTCCACCGGGGCTGTTCATAACAGCAGGCCTTCGTCAACCAGCGCCGCCAACAGACTGCTCCGAAGAGCCTCTGGGTTGAAGCGACTGATCTCGGGCCATGCTGTCACGGCATCTAGCCAAGCTGTGGCGAGCTCTTTCAGAATGGAACCCGAAGAGTCCCAATCGGTGTCAAAAGACTCCCATTTGGGGTCGAGGATGAAAGCCATCTCGTCCCTTGCAGCACCGCTCCACTGTTCGGGTAAGCTCTCATCAACGCCATCTTCGAGTTCCAGCTGGAAAGAGCCGACGTCAACGACTTTGTCCAGCTTGCCCAGGTACTCCTGGACAGTGGGGTCGATGAGCATCAAGACCAAACGGTCGTCGCAAATCCGATTATGCTGGGCAAAGTTCGGAATCGCAGATGCCGCCGCTAGGGCCGCGTTTGCAATTTCCAAGGGAATGGGTGCAAACAGCGGCTGCTCCAAGTTGTCATCCTCGACCAGCGGCTCGTCGTTGCCATCGTTGGCAGATGATGCTGGGCTCTCGCTATTCGGAGCACCAGCCTTCCCATCGTGGGACGTCGGTGTCGGAGCAGGAACCGCCGAAACGGGCTTACTCGTCCCTCCGCTGGATCCCTCACCAGCAACCGGAGATGGCTTCAAAGGCCCTGCTGCGCGCCTCCATTTGGGGCAGGCCTTTTTGATGATCCGGCCAGCGATGGCACTGGACTTCTCAGGTTGGCTCACCTCGGCTTTGGCGGCTGGTGTGTCCTTGTCCTTCACCTTGCCCTTACCCTTGCTGTTCTGCTTGCGAGACGGACGCGCAGAGGAGTCAGCATCTACCTTTGCAGGTACTGCCTTGGGAACCTCCTTTGCTTGGTCGAGGCAACTCGCGGCGGTGGTCGGGGGCTGGCTTGCGCCAGACTGCGCCTCGTCACCGGCAGGAAGCGAGTTTGGGAGTGGCTCGGGTTTCGACTTGGACGTGGACGCGGGATAACGTCCCTCCACATTGTCGACGGCAGGCGATAGTCCACCTGTCACTGTGGGCAGCACCGCAGGAGCGGTGTCGATCAAGGGATCGATGGGGAATGAGGTCGTCCACATGGCCTCCAGGTACGGGTCGTGCAACATGGGGCCAGGCGATAGAGGTGTGACCACCTCTCCCGCGGCCGATGTCGACTCCCCGGCAACTGGAAGCCATGGGTCGTCCGCCGCACTTGGAAACGGAATCTGCTCGGTGGCTGCTGGGGCAGGAAACGGATTTGCCATATCCGCTGGCGCCTGAACCACTGGGACACCCGGTGCTGGGGCCAGACCACTGGCGTCTGCAACTTCAAAGTTAACAGTGCCATTCTCCTGGTGCCATTCTGCAAGCATCATGGCAAAAGGGTGGTCCGCCTCGAAAGGAAGAGGCGTCTGGGCAAGTTGCGGCTCAAAAAGCGGCAAGTTGACGTCAAAGGCGGGTGTCTCCTGCTCCCACGCGGGCTGGGGCGCTAGATCCGTCGCCATTTCTGGCTCTGGAAATGCGAGGTCCAACTGAGCCACCATATCGGCACCGAAAGAAGCGTCGATAAATGGGTCAGCAAGCAGAGCGCTCCAAGTTGCGGCATTGGCCTGCTCAAACTCGGTCCAGTTCCCATTGTTGATCTGCTCAACCAATGCGTCAAGATCGGCATCGGGAATATCAGGCAGCAACGGCAATTCCGGGGGCATCAATCCAACGTCAATGTCGCCCATGTCAAAGTCGAATTCGGCAGGGTTGCTGTTGACGAGGGCTTCTGCGCCAAAGAGGAACGGGGTCGGCTGGGACAATGGGATATCTGGCAACTCAACGGCCGGGGTGACCATCGGCAGGTTAAGTTGGTCAACTATCTCGTGTGGCTCTGGGTGGGACTCGATGTCCATGAACTCCGGCTGGCAGTCGCCAGCGTCAGGAGTGGCGATGACGTCGGGAGAAGGCGGGAGACACACGTTGGCGGGGGAGACAGAAGAAACCGAGGGGTTTGGCAAGCCAGTACTAATAGGATGCCCGGCAATGGCATCGGGGGCAGGCAGAGAGACAAGCGGCTCAGCATTCGAAGCTGTGTCGACCTTGGTAGGACGATAAACAGCGGCCGGGGTCTTGACGACCCTGCGGCTGTTCTTCGAGGCGAGCCGGCGATAGGACGATTCACGTTGCCGCAAACCGCCTTCAGGACGACCCGCGAGGAAACGCTTGGGCCACTTGCCATCTTCGTAGGGCTGCGGTGCCGCCCACTCGAAAAGATGATGGCACGGAGTCGCCGCCTTCGCCACAGGGTCAGGAACCGGAGTGGTGTCGGTTGGCTTCTCTGGTGGTGCCATGAGAGCTTTCCGGTCAACCCGAGCGCCGTGGGTCTGCTCTTTGACGGCCAGCTCAGACGATGACGACTGGGTCGACGACGAGGGAGAAGGCGGCAGGGGAGGAAGAGAGACAGGGAGCGCATCAAGCGACTCGAGGAGCGACGGGGGGAGCGGGAGTGGGGGCGGATGCACAAGGTCCAAGTCGGTATATTCCGAGCTTGGCACCTCCTCCATCTCGATCGGGTTCTCGATGGAGGTTGCCGGGGCTGCTTGGGCAGACGCCGTAGCGCCAGTCTTGCCGTCCTGGTCGCTTGCGCGATCTTCGCTGTCGGAGGGGACGCCAGCGCTGCCATCGAGGGCAACAGCAGGCTCCAAGACTGGGTTCGGTCGGTCTGCGGACAACTCGACAAGGCCGTTGTCGTTGCTGGAACTGGTTGTGGCGGGGCTAAACACCCGGTCAAGATGAAGATGGTGCTGCTACCACCAATCCTCAGCCGAGACGGGGATGCTTTCCTTACCAGAGGGCTCGGAACGGTCGTAGCCTTGCGAGGTCAATAGGCGATGCTTGGCAAACCCATTGGGGAGGTCCGTCGTGGCCGACTGTGTACGCTGCGCGCTCTCCAGGACCAAGTCGACAGAGGCTGCCGACGTCCGGCTGCGATACCGAACGTCAGTAGGATCTCTGTGCGGCGGGCGTGGATAAGATGAAGTCGAGGGGGGGAGCGGAGGGAGAAGCGGCGGCTTCACGGTCGGCCAGCGGGATGGGTGCGCAGCGGTGTAGATCAAGAACGTGTCAAAAGTCTTCACGTACCAAACATCCGTGTAATGCTCTTTCGTACGACGGTAATCGTCGTATGAGCGAGCGGCCCGGAGGTAGTGCTCGTACGTCTAGGTAATGCACCCACGGAGACCAATAGGTTGGCCTTCGTCTGCAGCGGTGAGAACCTGTCGAGACAATTGTTCGAGACGGTCCAACTCGGCACTCAGGTCGGACTCTTCTTGCACCAAATACGCCAAGTCGCGATGCGTCCGATCTAGGATCGTCTGCAAGGCAACAAAGGTAGCCGATGGGTCAAAGGTCACGAAGTCAAGCGGTTTGGGAATGGAAGGCCCAAGTTGCTGAGCGAGGAGACGCCGGAGTTGGAACGTGACGTTTTCGATAGCAAAAGGTTCACGCGCGAGCATACTGACAGGGAGTCAGTCAAACTCGGCGTAGCGAAGAAACTGTCTTGCGCCTGGGCGGAAGACATTGAACCAGATGGTATTGAGAACGGTCGCGACTCTGTCGGAAAGAGCGTTGACTCGAAAATCCGTCGAGACCATTACCTGTTGCTGCTGCTCGATCAAGTCGATCAGCGATTCGTTGGCGCGGCGCTGGACAGCGAGGATGGCCTCCTTCTTCTTGCGCTGCTAGCGAAGAATCGGGGGGACAACCAGGCAGAGTAAACAGACAGGCCCAGCCACAAGCCAGAAGGCGTAGGAGCTGGTGAGCTTGCACCCACCGTCCACAACCATTTCGGCGAGATGGGAGGCCATGTCATCACAGCGGGCAACAAAGGCGAAGAAGTGGCCGATGAAGCGGAAGAGGGCCAAGAACCAGTTGTCGGGACCGATGCAACTGTGCAACAGGTAGGCGAGAAAGTCTGCGATGGCCTCCATGTCTTCCTCCAGATGTTCGTAGAATTCGATAGCCACAAGACCATCGTCGATGGATTCCACGAACGGAGCAACGAGAGTGTCGAACGGATCCAGGAACGCATCCCGAACAAACGTCTCGAGGCCGCCAAGGAGGGGGGGCGACATTCCGGTAAGCACTCGGTACTCAAGACAAAGAGCACAGCAGGCGAGGCCGATGAGAATGTGCCGGCGCGAGAGGAAGACACGAAGCCAAAAGTTGACCGGGATGTAGACCAGAGCCGGGACAACAACGCAAGACCAGGGGGGCAGGAAGGCGTAGGCCATGAGGATGACCGACAGAGGATCCATCACGACCCGAAGGTCGGGAGAGAGCAGTCTGAGGGCCTGCCACATGGCGGCCATCATGGCAAGGACGATCATCTTGATGCCAGTGATTGTCGAAAAATCTGTAACAGGCCAAGATGGTTAGCAGTTGTGCCATGGAGAGATGAAGGCGGAAAGAAGCGAAGGACAAGCCGCATACCGTCTGGGATCAAGAGAGTCCGCTGTACAAGATGCGACGAGGTCGGCGAGCCGTCGGTGCGAGGCGATGGGCGAAGTGTTCGCTACGACCTTTTATTCTTGTCGGTAAAACCACGTCGGGGACGCTGGGAAAAGGCGCGCGAGACAATTTCGAGACCCACGGAGAACAGCCTGTCGAACGGGCTGCCAGAGGCGGAGCGGAAGCGGAAATAAGAAAGATGATGACAGCGGAAAGAAGAAAGAAGAAGGAGGGAAGAAGACCGTCGTCGATCGTTTAACGTCAAGAGACGAAGCTGCTAAGCTGATAAATGGGGAGGCCGTGACAGGCCAAATCTGGCTGCAAGAGAGGAAGAATTGTCCGGAGACAAGACGTCGAGTCGAGAAGACGCAGGAGATGGCGAGTGAGAGGGCAACAGCGGTCGGACGAGCGAGGCAAGGAACTGGTAGCAGTTGGAGACAGATGTCGGCAATAGTTGCGAGTTCGATGAAAGCGGGTGCGATGGCTTGGAAGAGAGAAGAAGAGGAGAGAAAATTTTAGGAGAGGGGCGGGGGGAAGAGCAGATATATGTATTCGAGCGAGAAAAAATTTTGCCTGTCATGGCAACTACGGCTGGCATAACAAGAGCGCGTTTTGGCAGGTTGCTCCTTCCTCTCTTGACGGAAGTTGCGGTGGTGAAGATGCGTCCCTTCCAAAACAGGCAATGTTGGCATCGCGAGATGTTGTTCAGAAAAGCGGGGCGTTGTGTAGTGAATGGAAGGCCAGCACAACGAGCACAATAGCACAACAATGGGTAGCTTACCTTGGCAGTGAAGTGTAAAGGCCTCACGGGACTTCTCTGGGCCAGACAGACCGTGGGCCTGCTTGCCGCTCCTCAACGTCTGCAAAAGGGCGGTCGCTGTTGCCAGTTGGCGACGAGGTTGGCTGCCGGTGCTGGAAGGACGGCGGCGAAGAAGGTGCGTTCCTGCCAGAGTGGAGGGCACCGGAGGCGGAAGGAGCAACGAAGTAGCTGGGCGTAGATCCTGTGGGTTGTGAAAGGACAGCAAAGCTGGTGCTGTATGCCGGCGCCGAGGCACTTGGCAGCACGAAGTTGCCAGGTTCCAAGAACAGGATGTCATTTGAGTGCATGCAAGAGTAGACATTGTTCGTATTAATAGACGGCAGTAGGAGGGCAGACAAGGATGTGACAGGATATTGAGCTACGGAGTGAAGACTGCGGTCTGCGAACAGAATGGATGAATGAAAGAGAATGGACGAAAGAGTGGATGAACGAAAGGGTGGATGGACAGAAATAGCGAATGAATGTAAAGAGTGGGTAGACGAATGAATGAATAAACGACAAGACTGAATAAAAAGAGTGGGTGGACGAGCGAAAGAATGAATGGATGAATGAGGCGAATATCAAAGAGATGAAGACATCGTGTGAATATGATACTATTCACATACGGAGATGCAACACAGTGAATGAAATGTGGCGTGATTGGTATGTAGCAGGAACATCGTCACAGGACAAAGCATGAAATTCACTACGCTTCGGCAAGCGGACTGGCAGAGCCAAGTGATTGAAATCTTGAGGAGCAAAATACGAAAAGTGAAGCCACATTGACTTCACATCGAGATGCAGTCGCAAGTAAAATGCAACTCGAGGAGGATTCACTACGTTTTTGTGCCAGCCCCGATGGTCGGGCAGAGGCTGTGAAGTCGCTGCTTGGCAGAATCATAATTACGAGTGGGCTGCATGGCCCGAAACAACGAAGACCAAAAAAGGCAATGCATCTTTGAAATATAAAGAATATAAAGCAGACGTGCAACGTGACGAAACCAACGCCGATATAATAATAAAACCGTACTCCCGTCCGTACCATGCCAGTCATCCATCCCTATCCCTATCCCGTCCAATCAGTCCCTTGCCACCAGTTTACGGCCGCGCACGAGCAGCTTCGCCTTGAGCTCCTCCATCATGTCCACCCAAAAGTAGCCGGCAGCCGGCTTGCCCTTGTTCATTTTGGCGGCGGCTGTGGCGGCCGCGCCCGAGGCAACACGCTTACCGATCCGCGCCGCCAGAAACTCGCCCATCTTGGCCGCATTGAATGGCTCACCATAGACCACACGGGCCTCGGACGAGACGGCGATGCGCAGTCCCCGCACCTTTTTCTCCCCGCTGCTGGAGTTGACACCGGAACCGGAACCGGAGCCCAAACTGCGCAGGTGCAGCGTCACCTCGACCTTGGTGCGCAGCGGTGCCAGCAGGATGCTGACGGCCACAGCAATGGACGTGTCGGACGTCTTGGTTGTTGTCGTGGGAAACGTCAGGTTCAGGTGGCGGATTTGATTGGCCGCCTGCTTGGCCGTGTCCCAGCTCGCACGGACCACCTTCAACAGCCTGCCGGGGTGTGTCTCCGCCTGCTTGAGCCCGCGGACGTGGTCGCGGATGCACTGCAAGAAAAACTCGGTCTCGGGCGTGCAGGGCTGCGGGTCGCGCGTACGTGTGTGTCCAATGTACCAGAGGTCGATTTGCGCGTTGCTCTGCACGCCGGGCCGGAACGCGGCAACGTCAAAGACGAGCTCAATCTCGCGGCGGTAGGCCATAGACAGCGTTGTGCCCTGCGCGCCCGTCACGGCCCAGCCGCTCTTCTTCTCGAGCGCGTCGACCTGCGTCTTGAGCGACGAGATCTCCTGGTGGCTCCAGCTGCGGCGCTCCTCTTGGATCCGCTTGGCCTCCTCGAGCTCCTTGAGATACTGCTCGCGCTCCGTCTTCATCGCCGCCACACGCGCCCTGCTCTCCTTCATCTCTGTCTCGAGACGCGCCGTCGCGCCCTTGTGCTCCTCGATGGTCTCGGCCAGGCGGCTCTTTTGGACGCGGGCTGCAATCAGGGCCTCCTGGTTGTCACCGCCGAGCTGTGCCGCAAAGGTCTCGAGCTGGACACGCTCCCGCTCCAGGGCCTCGTACTCGGCCAGCAGCGCAGGGTAGACGGCGTCGACCTTATCGCGTCGCTCTTTCAGCACATCCTTGTCCTTTTGCAGGTCGCGGAGCACCTTGAGCATGCCCTCCTGGAGGCCCTCGTGCAGTTTGGTGCGCCACTCGTACCACTGCTTCTTGCTCTGCAGTCGTGCAAAAATCTTGATGTTCTTGAACTGGTTGTCCATCTGTGCGCGCATCTCGGGTGTAGCGGTCGTATATTCGCGGAAGATGGGCGGGTTGTCTTCGTACGTCTCCGTTTCGATTTCGCGCATAATGGAGCGGCCCTCTTCAATGTAGTTTTTCAGTTCGCGGCACGCATGCTGGTACATTTCCAAGAGAGGCACCTTGCAGACTGTTGTCACGAGCGATTCGATCTCGGGATCCTTGGGCTTGCCGTCCTCGTCGGTCGAGAGACGGCTGTGGCTGTTGCCACTGTCTTTGTTCAAGGCACCCGGACCCTCGGTGGCCCGCCGCTTGGTCGTCTCCAGCTCCATGAAGTGAATGTTGGCAAGCTTGAGGAAGTCTTGCAAGTGAATGCGCTCAGCGTCATCCTCGTCCTCGTCCTCGGCCGCGGCTTCTCCGCCAGCGGCATCGTTATCGTCGTCAAAGTTGAGGTCCTTGGACGCGTTCTCGTATTTGGACGGCGTTGTGCTCTGCTGCTGGCCGTCAAAGGGCAGCGGGGTGGCCGAGGGACTTCTCCGCGAGCGAGACGACCGGCCAATCGTTTCCATCATGGAGGGCGGCTGCTGCAGCCGGACGTTTTTAACAGGGCTGGGCTCGCCCTTGAGCCGCTTGACGAAGTTCTGGCTCTCGAGGTCATCATCGTCGAGGTCATCTTCATCCAGCTCGTGGGGCCGCTTGCCCAGAAGCCCCTTGGCACTGCCCACATGCAGGCTCTTGCGGCCCTTTAATGGGTTCTTCTTGGGCGAGAGGTTCTGGATGAGGTCCTTGAGGTTCTGAGTGGCTTCACGGTCGTCCAGGGGGCCAGAGCCTGTCGCCTCATCGTCGGGGGGTGTGCCTTGGCGAGACAGTTCTTCGAACGAGACAGCAGGGCGGTCCTTCTGGGCGGAGCCCACCACAAATTCAGAGGCCGCATCGACAAGTGACGATCTCCGGCTGAAGATCTCGGTGATCTTGGGTGACGACGGCCCAGCACCAGCATAAGCAGTCTGCCGGCGACGTCCCTGGGGTGTCAAAACGACAGGCGGGCCCGTGGCGCCAGTCGACGGGTTCTGCGAGAAAAGCGATTTCGAAAAAGATGCGGTACTGGCCTTGGGCAGTGATTTAGGCGTCGTAGACTTTTCAGCCGAGGCGGCCTTTCTTTTGGGCGATTTGGAGCGGCTACCAATGAAGCGCACCGGTGAGGATCTCTGGGGCGTTGCCGGCTCGGCAGCCGTCTTGCTCGGCTTAGTGGCAGGCTCGGGCTCGGGCGCCTTCTTTGGAGACGAGGAGACAGGTCGTGCGGACTGCTGTCCCTCGGCTTCACTGCCACGAGCAGGTGTCCGGTGAATGCCCTTGCCTGAGAAAGCAGACAAGCCTGGGCTGGCCGTGGCATTAGCCTTGGTTGCCGACCGGGTGACAGATTTTGGTGGAGAGGATGATTTCCTGCGCGGCCGCGTAGGTGTTTGTGTGTTTTCCGCGTTCTCTGCGCCGTTGACGGGCGCGGGGAGCAATGCAGGAGCCAGGGATCGTCTTCTTGCAGGTGATACCGGCTTAAGGATGCCGCCTAGTGCAGTAGTGATTTCCATGCCCATTGTCATCGTAGCCTCGTCCATATTGGCCTCGTCGTCGTCGCTGTCCTCGTGCTTGTCTTCGTTCTCCTTCTGTTCCTGGGCTGCTGCGCCGTTACCTCCCGCAAAGATCTTACCAACGCCAAGTGTAATGTCCATGGGAGCATCGTCGTCGTCGTCGTTGGGGCCGCGGATGGTTTGCCGCCGGCTCAGACGACGCGTCTTATTGGCACCGAAAGAAGGCCGGCCAAGCACGCCGCCCAAAACCGCCGTGAGTTCCATGGACATGTCTTCAAGGCCGTCCTGATCGACCGATTCGGCATCGTTGTCTTGTGCTGGACGAATGGCGCCGATGCCCGTTGTGAGCTCCATCGGCTCTTTGCCGGCAAGATTGTCGTCTGGCATGATCATCGGACTGCTAGCAACAGACTCCACGTCGGCCGTTGGCTGAGGCAGAATAATGCCACCGTAGGCACGCGTCACGTCCATGGACATCTCGTCTTCTTGCCGGCCGCCCTGTGCGGGCTTGATAATACCGCCCATGGGCCGGGTCATGTCCATGTCCATATCCATGTCCATGTCCATCGACATGGCCGTGTCCTCGTCCCTCTCGCTCTGCGGCGACTGGACGGCGTGCTGGATAGGTGCGGCTGCGCTTGGGGCGGCGTTGTTTGCAGCCTTCTTACTCCCCCAGCCGATAAAGCCTTGGATGACTTCCTCATCCTCGTCGAGTGGCCGTTGGCGGCGTGTCTCATCGGCCTGTGCACCGGCGTGCTCGGTAGCCAGCCGTAAAGCCTCATCGACGTCAGTTGTCGACTCGATCGGCGACATGGACTCCTGCATAGAAATGGATGAAAGGATGGACATGACAGAGGCAGACGTCATCTCGTCGGCGTCCACAGTCACCATCGTGGCGCCGTCACCTTCGTCCGAATCGCCAGCTTCCGAATCCGAGTGGGAGGCCACATCGTCGTCTTCCATCTCGTCACCATCCTCGTCTTCCTCCACCTCGTCGCCGCCGTCCGAATCGTAGACAGTCGATGTGATCGTATTGTCGTCGCCGCCCGCCATCGCGCCCTGGAAACCCAAGGCCGGCGCGCCAGTCGAGCTGCGCCGGTTTTTGGCCTGGTGCATTTCTCTTTGGTTATCGGGAGGCGATTCCACGACTTCGGCATCCTCCACCTGCTCAGGTGGGGTTGACGGTGGGTCGGATGGCCCCTGCAGTTCGCGGTCCAGGTCGCGGTCAAATTGCGTCTCTGGCAAGCCAGGCGGTGCCGGCGAAGGGGCCGGTCTGTCGGTCGACGTGGTCGAGTCTTGGGGGTAGTCCATCTCATGGAAGGTGTGCAGAGTAGCCTCGGCGGCAAAGGAGACGCGGCGGTTGGCGAGCGACTTGCGCCGAGCCTCGCGGTGGTCCTTGACTTCCTTTTCTCGCGCGGCGCGTTCCCGCTCTTCGCGCTCCCGGGCGGCCGCCTGCTGTTCCTCTTCTGTGCGCAGAGCAACACGCGTTGTGCCGTTGTCGTCGCCGCCATTCCGGGCCGGCGAGCCCTTGCCCTTGGCCTTGGTCTTGGGCTTCAGTGGAGGGATGTCGGGGAGGATGGGCATGGTTGGCTTGAGGATCGACCGTGGTGGTGGCCGTGATGGGACAGCAAGGGACTGCACAGGTCACATGTCAGCAAAAAGGGCCCGAATGCGTATGAGAAGGGACCAAGATGAGCCGGGGGCAACTTACCACACGACGGTTCCCTGATGTGGATTTGAGCGCATCGAGGCCACCGGGCCCCATGCTCTTGCTGCGCAGCTTCTTTTTGCTTGCGGCCGCCGTCGAGGCGAGGCCACCTGGTGCACTGAACTCCTCCATGCTCGTGTTTTCCTTGTCGGTCGCGTTGGAGGGAGAGAAGCCAGTCGTCGATTTACGCGTTCGCCGCGTTGCTGGAAATGCAGCCTCTTGTGACGTTTGTGAAGATGCCATGGCGAACGTCACGGCGCAGTCGATGTACACGAAGTCCGCGCGAAAGGAGAGGGGAGAGCAAAGGTTGAAAAGAGGGCGAGACGCCTTCACAAATTGCAGACGCGACGGACGAATGTATTTGCACGGAATTCCACATCGAGGACCAGTGTATCATTCCAAAAGGTCGCGATCCTCGTGCAAGTGGGGTCCGTTTTGCGACCTGACCGTGTTTACGACGCGTGCACTTCTGATTGGCTAGCTGTACCAGGTGTCCACATTGTATCGATTGTTGGCACAGCAACAAGAGACCTGGCAGGTGGCGCCAGCTGCCGATTGAAGCGATTGTCAAAGTCGACAACAAAACTCGTTGCAAGTGAGACCGTACAAAGAACTTTGTTGTATTTTTACTTAGATACCTGATTGGGGACAATAGGATCTGTTTTCTTGAATTTATTTCGTATTTTTCTGATGCGTATTGGTTGAGTTGCAGTTTTACACTGGTTTTTCAAATAAAAAAGTAAATCAAGGATACGTTTTTCACACAGAATCTTCTAAATCAACAGCTTTGAACTAAACGACATGAAAATCACCAAATAATACACTAGTGAACAGAAAAGACAATTCATCATAAAAACACAGGTGACTGTGCTCCATGATACAGTAATAAGGTTGACCCGAGGAAGGAAAGCAAGCGTGAAATGCAGCCAATGTAAGGTGCGGCCGGATGGACAAAAGAAAGACACGCAGGTATGTTGTAGAATGTGACGAAGAGAAGAATAAGTCAGCCGAAAAGCCCTCCAAATTATATGGGTATGTTCTTTTTACGAGAAAAATTGTTTACAAAGTCCCTGTTCCTGCAGAACCCATCCAGAATCCCGGTAGCTGCTCCCCTCAAAACCTAGTTCAAACGACCAAAGAAACCTGTTCTTAATCGTCCCACTCGTCGTTCCGCACGCCACCGACGTTTGTTGCGCCGCGCTTCTTGTTCGCTGGCGGCGGTGCGCCGTCTTCGTCTTCATCGTCGTCATCGCCGTCGACCGCATCCGCGTACGCCCCGTGGCCGTTACGGTGGACCGTGTTGGCATTGCCATTGTCATCGTCGTCATCGCCGTCGACCGCATCCGCGTACGCCCCGTGGCCGTTACGGTGGACCGTGTTGGCATTGCCATTGTCATCGTCGTCGTCGTCGTCGTCGTCACCAAGTGCACGCGCCAGGTCATCGGGGTCGTGCATCTGCGCGTCGGGATCGACACTCGCGTCCAAGTTGTGGTGGCCGTCGAAGCGCTCGGCCTCAAAGAGACGCTCGTGCTCCAGGGTGGTGTCGTCGGCACTGACAGAGATGCCGCGGGCGCCCCACTTGTTGTTGGAGGCACCGCCAGCCCCGCCACGGCCGCCGCCCCGTGCGCCGCCCCGTGCGCCGCTGGCAGAGCGTCCCAGAGCAGGCGCGCTCTCCTCGTCGTCGAGGCCGTCATGGGCGCGGTCAATGTGCTTGCCAAAGATGCGGCGGAGCAGCCAGCCCTGGCGGATGTCGTCGGCGTCGACCACGCCGCCGTTGCGGAGCTTGACGCGCTGGCGGGTCCAGTAGACCCAGGCAAAGTCGAGGTACAGGATTGTCTGGATGATGCCAAAGATGACGGACAGGCCGTTGGGGGGGTCGTCCTCGGGATCGGCGGCGCGGGCGATCCAGTTGAGGATGTAAAAGCCGCGGTAGGAGCCGAGGGCGAGCAGGTAGAAGGAGTCGATGACGGTCGGGATGGAGGTCTGGCGCAGCAGCAGCAGCTGGGGCAGGACGGCGACGGACTCGAGGATCTCGGAGAAGGACCACAGCCAGTTGAAAAAGCCCCACGAGATCTTCTTGACAAAGATGAGCATGCCAAAGGGCGACAGCAGCAGGGCACTGACGACAATACCGGCGGCCATCTTCCAGGCCAGCTCGAGCTCGCGCGAGCGTGGGTAGACCCAGCGCATGATGACGATAATGTAGAAGGAGGTGGTGATGTAGAAGACCTTGAAGAACACGTTCCAAGGGATTGTCTCGCCTAAGATGTTAGCGTAGCGGGTGCAAAACACGACGGCGTAGAGGATCTGTGTGATGAGGGAGACGCCTGGAGGTAGTTAGCGAGGTCTGTGTCTGTCATGCATACGTAGACAGGAGCATCGTGTCCCGCCGTCAGCGTCATCGGGGCCATTATAGCCGCCGCCGCCGCCGCCGCCGCCGCAACGTACCTTCGGCGCTCCGGTTGCGGTGGATGGAGAAAAGGAGGATGCATTTCGATAGCAGGTGCAGGCAGTCGCCTGTTATCCGGAAGGGCTGTCGAGTAATTGTGTGTTAGTTGAGGAGCTGGCCAGGCGCCGATGGCGATGCCGTTATCGAGCAAGGAGAGAACTCACATTCCAAACGGCCATCGTTGCAGTGTTCTCATGTGCGTGTGGTGGTGTATCTCTATGCAGTAATGTACCGCATGTCGCCCAAGGCGGTTCTGGAGGGTATTGTGTAAGGGAGAGTCAGAGGAGGGACGTGGTCCGAGAATACGTTGAGGTAGCAGAGGCGCCGTTATTGCGATTGCCTGGTGGACAGGACTCGTCACTGTTGTCTTCCGCGCAGCTAAGCTTGCGCCCGTGTGTGTCTGGACGCTAAGTGGCCAGCTTCCATGTGCGGCGCTTCCTGTTTCGCACGCGCCCCACAGCAGCTAGCTCAGCCTTTCATCAGCCGACACACAGTGCAAAAATATACACACTGTAAGCCGCACAGTATCAGCAGGCACTCGTAACAACAGTATATTTACTGTCATACACCGTGCTGTGCGTTGGACTCCTCGAACAGGTGCCAAGACGACGATATGAAGACTAACCCTGGTGCTCAGTGAAAGTTCGTGTGCTGCTGCCGTGCCGTACTGCGGCTCGAGGAGCGTGGTAATATAAGACTACTATGGGGAGACCCGAAGGTCTGGGAGCTGGGCAGGATTAGGAGGTGTTGGCGCCATACGTTTTGTATGTCGTCCGTGAGAATTTATTACATTGGGCATCTCCAAGCGGCTTAAGAGAACAGGGGGGTGCTGTTCAATATCAAATGGAGGACAAAGAGTCGATAGCAAAAGCATTGTCTCTTGTCTGAAGAGCAATGCAGAGACGGCTGTTACATGTTACGTCATCTCGTCTGGCGAGAAACAAGACAAGAGCGTATTGACGTGGAGCACGACGGAATACATAGATTAGTAGACGAAAAAGGAAATAGAACACAAGACACAACATTTCGGACAATGTACGATTTCAGTTTCGGATTGTCCATTTGACAAAGGACGAAAATAGATTCTTGCCCAGCACGGAGTTGCGTCGATCCCGTGCCAGGACGAGCCCCAGACAGCTGTGCAAGTAAACAGCAAAACAGCAAGGGGCAGCAGACACAAGACATGAGACAGCCGTTGCAGAGGGGAGGGTACGATGAAGTGGGCAGAGGAGGAAGCGACGGCAAGCCAGCAGTCTTGACGCGAAGAATCGCCGTACGAAATGCAAAGGGAAAATATTGCGAAAATGTACGTCAATGCGGTTGGCCGTGTGTGGGAAACGAACAGGCAAAACAAGGAGATTTCAGGCGAGAAGTGGGCAGCGGCAGAAGGGATGATTCCCGGCGCACAGAGCCGTCAGACTAGCCATCCACAATACGAAACAAAAGCATCCAGTAAGTGTGCAAACGTCGAAGTCAAATGCAAGGGCTTTTGACAATACTGCAGAAGAACGGATGAACTGATGGAAACTGGCACAACACAACCAAGGGTCGAACCCTGCACGTCTTGACAACGGCAATCAGTGGCTACGATGACATGTGGCGGAAAGCTCAGCCTTTGACGAAAAGAATACAATGAACAGAAGAGGAGAAAGGATCAGAAAATGGGCATCAGATATCGGAGCTTGTTACATGTTAGACGGCGTTAGTGGCAGCCAGGCCTAGATCGCGCCAGGAACACAGGGCTGACAGGGACGCACACAACGAACAGCGGGAACTAGTGGTGAATCCACACCTGTCAAAGCGAAGAGAAGGCCACCTCTGTTCATCGATCTTGATCCACATGTAGAAGACGACGAAGATGGAAAGTGCCAAGCGATAAATAGTGACGGGTGTATGTACCTGTTCGATGCTTAGAGAGTCATTTCCTCCTGATGCCCTTGATCTCGAGCTTGGTGAAATAAGGGGATTCGCCTTTCTGGTCCATCGGCAGTGAGGGCTTTGATCGGCCACTTGCTTTTTCCCGTTAGTTTTGTTGATGACGCGGCGTGCAGGGTTCTGTCATCACGAGAACAAGGACCGAAGCAAACTGACATGGCGACTTATTTCGGGGCATCTCGTTGCGGCTACTATTTGCACGTTTCCATGCGAACACTGGTTCTACCATGGCGAGGTTAATCCTGTCTCTTCGCCTCGTGCAAGCTTCTGTGTTCCTCCCTCCCGAGAGGGTTCTTTCTACACGCGACAGTGTCAAGGATGCCCGTTCGCTCCAGCCGTCCAGTATCCCAGCACGCACTACGTAGACACCCACGCACTATCCGCGCACCACTGCAACGACTTGTGGCATTCCTAGTCTTGGGGCTCGTCATCACTCCGTTTGGATCCGCAAAGCTAGACGAGCACGCGAGGGGCACACACGCAGTCGCAGGAGGACAGGAATGAGCTGACATCAGGCATAGAAATTATCCCTTGTGGGCGGACAAGGTTGAGTCCCGATGTTTCATGGCAATATCACGTCTTGCCCGTTCGTTCTCGCCATGTCTCTTCTGTTGCGTCCCTTTCGCTGCTCCGTCTACTTTTGCTTTGATTTATTTGATTTAGCTTTATTCTGGCATCCCCATCTGCCCTGTTTTCTGGCTGCCAATTTACCGCTCTTCTGCTCCCGTGTTTCCTGATTGCACTTCTCGACTGCCCTTTTATATTTTGGACGTCGGGGTCACCGCTGGCTTTTTTCTTTCCTTTTTTCTCTACTTTCGGCAACGTCTCCCCCAGACGGACAAACGAGTTTTAAACTGTATTATTCAGGTTGCTTTCCACGTTTGTATTTTCTCGTCGTCTGTTCTGTCGTTCGTTCTTTCCTTCCTTTTTCCTTTGCCAAGAACCAGTCGTTCTTTCCATTCTTCATTGCCAAGACTTTATTGTTTCTTATCATTTCACGATATCCTCCATCAAAGGCATCACACGCAGAGCGCCGTCTTCCACCCTGTCTAGCACCATGCGTCTGAACTGCATGATCCACTGTGCCCTTGTCGGCACGACCCTGGCCGACGCCGACTTCAACTCTGTACGCCGGCGACTGCACAAAGACATGAGCGGACGAGGAGGCGATCCACCGGGAAAATATTTTCGTGAGTTGCCCGTTGACGACCCTTTCGAAGATATTGATAATGGGCTAATACGCTACCTTAGACGAATCTATGTGAGCAGGTGTGCGCCGACATAATGGGCGTCTCAGACCGTGACTAACTTCTCCTTCCCAGCTTCCACCCACACTACGACGGCCGGTATGTATTGTCTTTTGGTTTTTGGCTCGTCCCGTCGGCTAACCTCCCAAGCTTTGCCGACCGCGTCCTAGAATACAGCGAGCAGAAACGGGCACTCAAGAGCCTCATTCAGACATACCTGTCCACCTTTGCCGACATTGGTGTCGAGACCTGGCTCATGCATGGCTCGCTGCTCGGCTGGTGGTGGAATCGGCAGGTAAGCTCTCGCCCACTTTCCTTTCGACTTCCATCTGCTTTGCCCGCTAACGCCATAGATTATGCCGTGGGACTCGGACATTGACGTGCAGGTCCTCGAGCCCGGCATGTACTACCTCGCCGCCTACTACAACATGTCCGTCTTCCATTACAAAACGCCTCGGCTGCCCGACGGCCGCGACTACCTGCTCGAGGTCAACCCTCATTACACCAACCGCGACCGCTCAGACTGGCTCAATGTCATTGATGCGCGCTGGATCGACACGGAGACAGGGCTGTTTATTGACATTACGACGGCGCGCTACGACCCCAGCCATTCGGCCGGCGAGGGTGTGCTTACGTCCAAGGATGGCCACGAGTACCGCGACACATACCTCTACCCGTTGCGGGACACCATGTTTGAGGGCGCGCCTGCCAAGATCCCTTACCGTTTCCGGGAGATACTCGAGGCCGAGTACGGTGCCTCAGCGCTGGTCAACAAAGACTTTCACGAGTGAGTCCCGTCACGCACAAGCGTGTACATTCCTTGTTTCTTTTCTCCGACTAACATGATAGTCATGAGTTTGACGACGAAAAAATGGAATGGGTACCGAAGATGATGATGAACAAGAACAGCTAGCTGTCGTTGGCGGAGGAGATGCAGCTCGGCGCATGAGAAGAGGAAACGATGAAGCTTGATCTTTGTCTCTTTGTCACTTTTCATTTTCGGCGTTGGTTGTTTCAGTGTATGCGGCTTGGCGTTCTGGGCATTGGCTGTTCACACCTTGTATTTTCTTCGTTTTTGCGTCGCTTCTCCGGTACATTATTCTCGCGTATACCCAACACGCTTGCACCATAACTAGAGCGAGAGTATAAAAACCGATGTTTTTGGGCTATACTGCTTGATTAAACGAAAACAACGGTGTTAAGAGGTAGTATGGTGTAAGCGACGTTGTATACGAGGCTGAAGATGCCAAGACTTGATCTGACATTCAAGTCCCGAAGACCGCCCTAACGCCCTGGTGCTTCTGTGCGACGTATTATTGTTTGGCTCTGTAAGTAAGGAGCATTACAGCAAAGGCTCGGGCTGACAGGCTGCGACAGTAGTGCCCTGAAGGCGCTAAAAGTCTTGGCACCGCGTGCATGCCAAAACTGACAAACTGAGCTAGGCCATAGTCTGGTCAATCCCCGCGTCGCGCCTTCCTTCTGTGAACCGTTATTACGCGTCACACCGCACGTGCAGCTCCGGTTTGGTGTACACTCTCCATGCCCAACAGCTTCACCCTTTTTAGTCATATCGCGAGGATAACCCATTACGACAACCGATCCCACGCACACACCGAGAAACGCGGTGCATTGGCACCACGACTGACCCAGATGGCATCAAGTAGGTCCATCTCATTTGTGGCCTCTGTCGCCTCACCATGCGCTAACACCGCCAGGACGCGAAGAACGCATGCAGCAGCGCATGCGCGGCGCGCAACGACACCAGGTCCAGGATGCTTCGTTCGACCTGTTTATGTCCCTACCCGAGACGCACGACGCACCTGCCAACTCTCCGCAAGCAGAGGGCACCGACGAATCGCCTGCTGCAGCAGCAACGTCCGCAGCTCAGCCGACGGCTGCTGTGCGCGCAACACCCAACTCGTCTGCTAAGAGGAGACGACTCAGTGACGACGGACGTGCTACACCAGGGGGAGGAGGAGACGCAGACGGTTCCACAGCAACCAAGACTGCGTTGGCACCGCGCATCTCGACGGATTCCCAAGACCGGCCAGCGGAAGAGGAGATTAGTGAAAGCCCCGTGGATGCACCTGGGAGTGGACGGCGGCAGTCGGTTGCCGCTGTAGTGAGTGCTGCTGCCACGAGCAGGAGTGCGGCTTTGCAGCAGATTCTTTCCAATGCAGGCAGCAGTCGCAGCAGCCGATCGAGCCGATCGAGCGGAGCCCGCGCAGCGAACGCCAAGGACCGAGTTGTTGCGGCATCGTCTTCGTCCCCGACACCAACAGCAGTAGCAGCAGCAGCAGCAGACGTACGTGCCAACTCGTCACTGCCTGCGTCTTCCTCACCTCCTATGCGAAGGAGTCGCAGGGGTACGGGCGGTTTGGACGAGCTGTCGCCGGAGCTATCGACCGTGGTCGACGTACCATCAACTGGCGGCGTTGGGATTGATGCGGCCGCAATGGTGGCTGCAGAAACCACCAAGGCAGAGATTCAAGGAAAAAAAGCTGGCGTGACGACGCGAGGTGGCCGAGGTGGTAGCGGCGTGTTCTCGAAACTGGCCAAGTCCAAGCAAAGCGGTGCTAATAGTGCCGACGAGCTATCTTCGCCCACCCTGACCGTCGTTCTCGAGTCGCCTGACAACTCAGCGACTGGCGGCACGGTCGCGTCCTCCTCGCCGCTAGCCCAGAAGGCTACGGCTGGTTCTCGGGCCGCACGCGCCGCAGCACGCGCGGCGGGAGCGTCGCGTTTGTCTGGCGAGTCCCAGAACTCGGAATCAACAACACCGCAAGGACCCGCACGGAAAGGAAATGGAAAAGACAAAGAGAATGCGTCAGAAGAAGAGCCAGACGAGCTTTCGCCCGACCAGCAGCAGCAGCAGCAGCAGCAACAGCGGCCACCACCACTTTCGCCAGCCACGGGCCGGACTAGCAGCCGCATTCAGCGTGCGTCTGTCGTTCCCTCGTCCTCTCCCATTACGCGGCCAACAAAACGGATGCCGTTGCAGCCACCGACATCTTCACCGAGACAACCAGCAGTGTGGTCGCCACGGCGAACGCGCGGGCGGCCTCCTGCCAAGGCAAAAGCAAAGGAGTCCGTAGTTGCGGCGGTTGAAGCGGAGGCGGAGGAGGACGAAGACGAGCAGGCCGAAGAGATCGATGTGCTTGAGGCAGCAAATACTATTGGACGGAAACGACCACGGCGAGGTACTGTGCATGAGCCGTCGCCAGAGCTTGGTTTGGATCCGAAGCAGACTGAGCCTGGAGCAGAAGTGCCCGAAAGGGCCGCGGCACAGCCGGCAGCGAAGCGTAGGCGGCGCAAAAACCAGGAGCAAAGCACGGATACCCAGACGCAGCCACGGCCACCCAAGGCAACCAACGCCAAGGCATCCGTCAAACGGAAGCGACGGCGAGATGAAGCAGGCGAACACGACGGCGACGATATCCAGGGAGAGGAGGAGGGGGAGGATCTCGAAGGTGTTGGCAAGGCAGCCAGTCGAAGTGGCAAAGGAGAATCGGTGCCCATTACTGTGCAACGCTTTTCGCAACTGCGGCGAAAGAGCCGCGGTACCGGCGCGAACGGCAACGACGATGACGACGACGGCGACGGTGACGACAACGACGAGCTTGCTACGGGTGGCGTCGACCTGTCCTTTGCCAACCGCAGCGGTGTCAATGCAGTGGACGTGCTCGCCCAGATCTGCGAAGACCTGGTCGAGCAGAAGCTGCAGTCGCTGCACGAGAAGCACCAGCACCTGCGCCAGCAGCAGGTCGAGGCTGGGGACGACGGCCAACTGGCTGCGGCCCGCAAAGAAGCGATTGTGGCCCGCCGCGCCATCGAGTCCTTCCAGATGGAGCTGCGCGCGCGTCTGCTCGAGCAAGCCGTCGCCGTCGACGCGTTGCACGCCCTGCGCAAGCGTGTGCGTGCTGCTCAGAAGAGCAAGCTGGCTCTGCGCGAGGAGATCCTGCGCATCCGCGCCGAGCGCGACCAGGTCGCCCTGCGCATGGACGCCCTGCGCGCGCAGCACCAAGACCGCGTCGGCCAAGCCATGAAGACGGCCAACATCTCGTCCACGATGCACGACATGGACCTGGCAATCGAACAGGGCCGTGCTGCTCCTGAGCTGACTCCCGCCCAGCAAAAGGCGGCCGACTTGGCGAATCTGGAGCTGACTGTGCGGCGGATCGCCGAGCAGGTGTCGGGCGGCGGTGGTAGTTTGCATGGTGGCGGCACACTGCAGCAGCTGGTCGACTTCAACGACTTCTTGGAGCGCACGGCCGTCTTGCTCGAGGGCCGGAAGCTGAAGCCAAAGGCCCTTGCTGCCTAGGTTGGTTGGTAGTGTTGTACGATGGTGACCATTTGTGTACATATATGATCATGACGTGATGACTGGAAAACGGTTCGCATGCTTTTCATACTCTGTGCTTCTCTCCTAAATTGCCTCGTCAATGCGTGATCGTGATTCTTTAGTCTATGCCGTGAAAGGTGTGAGATGGCGTTGCACCAGCTTTGTCTCCAGATGTCCCAAAAGTGCCCCGGTTGATATCGTTTCCTCCTGTTTGCACTCTTTTTTATGCATGTTGTTGCTAATATACAAAAGTTGCTTGCTCGTAAAATCTTCTCTCGCCCTTATGACTCTGGTCTCTTTCTCTGCGTCGCTCCTAATGCCCAAACAGGCTGGACACACGGTCTTTGATTGTCGCCTTGCCTTCGGCCTTGCGTTGCTCCCGCGCTGCCGCCTGTGCTGCCCGCAGAACTGTCACGCGCTCCGACATTTCGGCATGCGCTGCCAGCTCTGCACGCATAGCCGCCTCTTCGGCGGGGCGCTCCGCCTCGGGCAGCTTGCTGAGCTTCTCACTCCATTGCTTGCGCAGGTCCTCGGGGATGCTGGGGTCGGACCCAATGGGTGGTAGTGATGCCACACCAGCCGTGACGGATGTCGTTGTAGCCCCCGCTTGTCTCGCGGCCTTGGGAAGTGTAATGTTGCTCGCAAAGTCCACCGCCGGTACTGGCCGGCCTTCCGCCTTGGCCTTTTCGACGGCCGCCTCCTGTTCGAGCATGCGGTGGAAGAGCGCGTCGGCGTGCACCTGGATGCGCTCGTCCATCTCGGGCGAGCGGTCGTAGGCGTTGAGGTAGCCCAAGGCTTTGAGCAGTCGCTGGCTTGTTAGCTCGTGAGCGGGCAGTCTACCGTATTCGTCTGTAGCATTGACATACCGACTGCATGTTGTAGCACCGCTCAAACTTCTTCATCTCGGCATTGCACATGGTCATGCGGCTGGTCAGCGGGCCGTGTTTGATGCACTCGTTCCACTCAATCTGCTCGAGCGCGCAGTTCTCCAGCGCGGCCCGGCCAATCTGTGCGCGTCGGTCCTTGTAGGCGTCCAGCACATCCATCAGGCGCTCGTGCTCGGACTTGGTGTCCGCCTCCACAGCAGCCAGTGGCCGGTACGTCTTCCACAGGTCGGCATAGCGGCCATCCTGATACAAGCTCTCGGAGGGAACGGTAGGCTGTGATGGGTCGGCGTCGGTCGGCTGTTGTGATGGGTTGTGTGCTCGTTGTCTCGCGTTTTGTTGTTGCTGTTGTAATTTCGGCTGCTTCTGCTGCTGCTGCTCCTGTTGCTGGTACTTGAGCGGCGACTCTTTCTGAAGGAAATCCCGCAGCTTCGGATCGAGCTTCGCCAACGGATCGGACGAGGAGCCGCCGGTGCTGGCACTTCCGCCGCCGAAGAGACCGTCGAACCAGCCCATGCCAAGGGTGTGTGTAGGTCAATTGGCAACGAGTAGGAAGAAAGGGCAGGCGAACGTGAGACGGAGGTCTGTGGTCGAAAATATGCAACCGCTGTCTCTTCTACGTCTGCTGGCGATTTTTTGGTAGTTGCTTTTCGAAGCCGCTATCGCGATTGGCAACTTCCTTCCCCCACTCTGTTGACTCGGCAAGTGCCAGCCAAAATTCCAACTTCAAGGTCACGTGGGCGCTTTTGCACACTGAATGAAAGAGTTGACTCGGCTCAAAGTACGGCGCAACGACAACACATCTGTGACGTTCGTTCACGTCAGGTCACCTTCGCATCACGTTGGCTCATCGCGTAGTTTATTACTTTTTTTTGCATTGGCTACCAGATCACTTTTTCCCTGGGCCGTTTTTGCCCGTTTTGTAACTAGTAAAAACAAAACACCAGAGCGAGGAGTACAGAAAAGATCCCAATCCTGCAAATCTCTCGCCCTTCCTCTGCCGTCATTGTTCCTCCAACCCCCTCGTTCATTCCGTCCGCGTGTCTCTTTGTGTGCCTTCTTCTATTTGCCGTCATTCCTTTTTGGTCTCAGCCACGGTCTGTCTCACGGACATGGTCCTACCCGAGTCGAGCTCGGGAAATAACGATATAAGAGAAGTGTAAAAGCTCCCAAGGCCAGGAAAGGTCGGTTGCTTGCCTGCTCTTGCTCGCCGTTGTATTCGATGTCACACAAAAAAAGTCGGTCGTGATTGTCAAGCTGCGTGGATTTTTTCGTTTGTCATGGGGCGTGTAAAAAAGAAGTTTTTTGGAAGGTTGATATAGGGCGATAGAGAGAAAAAAACAACAAAATGCCAAACACCATAGGTCCCCCCCGTTTTTGTTTTGTAAATATCACACATCCCTTAGAACTTGCTGAACGACTTGGCGGCCTTGCTCGTCCGGGGCAGGACGCGCAGGACGTTGAAGCGGACAGTCTTGGACAGGGGACGGCACTGGCCAACGGTGACCTGGTCACCCTCCTCAACACGGAAGGCCGGGGAGCAGTGGGCGGCGAGGTTCGTGTGGCGCTTCTCGTAACGGGCGTACTTGGGGATGTAGTGCAGGTACTCTCTCCGGATGATGATGGTGCGGTGCATCTTGGTGGAGACGACGGTGCCGGTCAGGATACGGCCGCGGATCGAGACGAGGCCGGTGAAGGGGCACTTCTTGTCTGTATGGAGGGGGTAGTGGTTAGCACCTGGTTGTCTGCTTCATGGTTGACCGCGAACGTTATTATCCAAGCGACAATCATGCCGAAATTCTCGTCGAGCACTCTGGCCGTCGTCGTTGCTGTGGGACGTATGTCTCGCGTCGTAAATGGCGTTCCTTGCAACGATTTCCGTTTTTTTGCACGGACTGGCGACAGTATCTTCATGTTCGTCCTTGCATTCAAAGTCGTATGACGGTCCAGTACAGTTTTCGTCACGGTCGCCGAGTAGTTTCAATGCCATGATTGCCGTCACCGATTTCCATGTTACATTTGCCAGATGTTCGCCAGCTCGTTTCCTTCTTCGCATCGCTATTTCCGTCGCTATTCGTTCGGCCGGCCAGAGTTGTCGTTTCGCTTCCTGAGGATGTTGTCGTCCTCTTCATTCATCTTCACCGTTCTTCGTCTCGACTTACCGATGTAGCTGCCCTCAATGGCAGTCTTGGGCGTCCGGAAACCCAGACCAACGTTCTTGTACTGCAGTTATCGACACCCAGGTCAGCAAGAGGTCCTCCTAAACAGCGACGGACACAAAAGTATGCAAAGGGTAATTCAAGAGGCAATCGTCTGCCACGTACCCATCTCCGGCCGTTCTTGCCCGGGCGGGCAGTCTTGACCTTGGTCTTGGAGTTCAGGAAAATGTGAGGCTGCTTCTGGAAAGCACGCTCCGACTGGACGGTAAGCTCGGTGGCCATCTTGACGACTGTTTGGGGGGGTTGTTGTCGGAGAACGAAAAAATTGTCGTGGATTGTCGATGGGTGTCGAGATTGTCGAGATTGGGGGGCACTGCAAAACAGAAGAGTAAAAAGCACGAAATCTCAGTAGCCTCTATTTTCTTCCAACCGGCGCTGCTTAATTTTTTCTGGGTTTTTCTCGTGTGATGGGCTTTGGGTGGAGTCGCTTTTTGTCAGAGAGACCCTCTTTTCGGGGGCGCGGAACGGAAAAACTTACTCGCAGGTGAAAAAAAATCGAAAGTTGTGGGAGGGCAAGTTCATTAGAAGTGGAGCGCTGTGTCAAGTACGCCAATGGTGTCCTGCAGGCGACCGCTAACAGTTGCACAGTGTGGCTAGTGTCAACTATGTACAAATACAAGTCCACAGGGAATGAGTGTTCGTGCTTCGTGAACAAAACGTATGGATGATCTCGGTAAGTATACCCGCTAATAAAAACGCCTGTCAGGTACAAAGCTTTCTGGTTCTGTGCCCAAATGCCACCGTACGAATGTACCACATGCATGAAATAACAAACAGCCAAATCCAAGGTCCAAAATCCAAAACTCAAGACAAACTTATAAGTCAATATGTGATGCACGCTGCGATATCTCCCAAAAACACCGGAGAACAGCAAAACCGCCGGCTTGTGTTTCCACGGTCCGACCGCGACCACGGGTATTGGGGTCCGTTGGATGGCTCGCCAGCGTGGACGGTGCATTCACGCTGATGTCGCGATCGTCCCCAGGAGCGTGCCCTGTACGCTTTTCGCTCTTTGCGCGCCCGCCCGTCAACGGCGCCTGGCCCCCGCCACGATACGGCGGCTCGTCCAGGATCGGTGCCGTCGGCAGTTCGCTGTCAACGGGAGTCGAGACCCAGAGCTCGTCATTTGGCACGCCATATGTGCGGTAGTCGACACCGGGACCGTCGGGGCTTGTGTCGCCTAAAGCCTCGAGTGACGTTGAGTTGATCTTGAGCAGCCCGGCCGTCCACCACATACCAAACTTGCCGTCGGCATCCTTCGTCGCCAGGGCCGCGTTGACGTTGTGCCGGATCCAGCCCAGGTAGACGGCGCAGGCCTTTGTGTGGTCGTTCAGCGTGCGCTCGTAGAGTTGGCGCGCGAGCGGCGATTGTTGTGTGCTGCCGTCCGGGTGCGTGCCGACGTACGCAGTGTCGAGGGGCGCACAGAACGCGGTCAGGTGGTGGAAGAAGATGCTCTTGAAAGTCTGGCTGTTCTGTGAGCAGTGGCCGCTGACGTCGCACTGGTCCTCCAGGACGCCCGCCCGGCCCAGGCCACGCCATGGCGACAGCTGGCCCGGCTCGAGGTCGGCAATGTTGTCAATGGGCCCATTGCGGACCAGGTCGTAGCCCGTGGCGTTGATGACGTTCTGGATCAGGACGTGGCCCTCCCACAGGTGCCGTTCGTCGCCCGTCACTCTCCAGATGCCGATGTGGCCAGTCAGCAATACACCCTGGTTGTAGGTATAGACCATATCGTTGCGCTGGTCGCAGCGGGTGTTGGGGTTGCTGATGTTCTTCCAGCCGCTGATGTGGAAGCCGTCTACGTAGAGACCCTGTTTGTTCGTCATGCCCGAGTGCGCAAGCCACTTGTAACCGTCAAGGGCAAACTTGAGATGCTTGGCCTCGTGTGGGCTGTTGCTTTGGCCGGTCGCGTTCGCACTGCTGGCGAGCGGGTCGGACGCCCGCGGGTCGTTGGCATTGAGAAACGGCGAATCATTAGCGTCGCCGGGGAAGTAGAGGTACATCGATACAGACGCCGCGATAAACAGCTCGTTGGTGATGGCGTTCTTGTACGGCTCGAGGCGAGGGTTCCAGGTCATGCCGCCCCCGCACAGCTTGTCATCCCACCCTTGCGAGGCGATGTCCCAGAAAATGCGGGCGCGGTGTGCAAAGGCGGGCGTCCATAGGTTGCCGTACCACGACTGGTTGCGCAGGCCGATTATGTCGGAGGCGGCGGTGTTGCTGTCCGCGGCTGTTTGATGGTAGAGCGAGGTGTGAAGGTCAATAAACTGCAGCGCCTCGAGCCAGCCGAGCACAACCCAGAGCATGTCGTCGTATGCCTCGTTACGGATAGCGAATGCGTCCTGGCCAAAGTAGTAGCTGAGGAGCTGAGAGAAGTATGTCGTTATCAGGTTCTCCTTCTCCTTGAGGCCGCTCTCAGCCGTCAAGCCCCGCGAGAGCGAGCTGAGGGCGCCTGCAACGTGGGTGCCAATGACGGCGGCCGTCCAGTCAATGGCCTTGGGCCACTGGCCCAGCCATGGCTCAAAGTAGTCGTCCTGCATCACTTGCAGGGCTTCCAGGAACTCATCGACGACGTCGAACTTGGCCAACTCTGCGGCGGGCCGGTGGACTTTTGTGAGAAGGTGCTGTGGTAGGAACGGGTTTGGAGAAGGCGATAACGAGGCGGAGTCTGAATCCGTATCGATTTCGATACCACCGCCGCTGTCAGCCCAAGGGCCGACAATAGCAGCAGTTGCAGTTGAGGCGGCCAGCGCCATACACGCAAGATGCGCGAGCCGCGTAATCATGGCGACGGTAGGTCCTCGGGCAGGCCTATGTAACGAGCGTCTTTGCAAAGCATCAAAGTCCCACGGAGAGGTGTCCAGGCCGTCGTTGTCCGCTTCGGTACATGGAGCGGTGGCCTGGCGCAATGGTAGAACAGGGCCTGAAGCGGGGCCGTCGTTGATTGTGACTGTAAACAGAATGTGCTCAACGTTGGCGATGCAGGTGGCCGCTCAGCGGAGAATGAGCGGTCGTTGGGATACGTTGATAGATGCCGTGCAGTGGAAAGATCGGGATGAAGCAGCGGGCAAATGCAGACGGCCGGCACGCCGTGTATGGCGCAGATATGTAGGATGCCGGCAAGGAAAGTAAAGAATGATAAATGAGGAATAATGCTAGCCAAGCGAAGGTGGACAAAGGGTAGCGCCAAGAGAATGGCTGTAATACGGGCAGGTCATCAGAGAGTCCAGAAAAAGAAAACTGGGGAACCGCCCCCTGTCCCTGGCGAGAGAAAACTGGAGATCAACGGCGACCACGGCCACACAGCACCTGCTGTAACAGGGCGATGCGACCCGAAAAGGCAGGCCTCGTGGGACTGTGCCTGGCAGGTGCGTCCGGGGATTCCTCGCTGTCTGGGAAGAGCAGGTACGTCGCTAATGAATAAGGCAAACCAACCAGACAATGCCCAAAATGAACGGAAAAGATATCTAAGAAACCAAATTAAGAAATGGGCAAGAAAACGACGATGGCCGCAGTGATGAAAGGGCCAGGCTACAGAAGACAGCCTTGGCGGGACTGGCCTGTCGTCTGGCTACTCCAGCCTGATTGGCGCATTCGCCACAGTCGCTCCTGCCATGCATTGCGTCGCTTCCAACCCGCCAATCCGCTCGTTTCTTCCTTGGTGCGCTTCAACACGACTTCCATACAGGGCAACAAGCCCACTAGCCATGCCGACTTCCCGCCAGTCGTTGCCCAACAGGTGCAGCAAGTGTGTTGCTAGCGGGTAGCTGCGGGGAAGCTGGGGTCACGCAGCAGGGTCCTTTGTCGAGCCAAACGGGGCCAGATGCAAGACAGGTCGCCAACTCGATCAAGTCTTTTTTGCCGACACAAGTCGACAGAACCAAAGCTTTACCGTTTTTAGACACTTCTGTTTTCGTGATGGCTGTATGGTCTGCACAGGGTCATCTGGGCATCGTGTGACCGGACTTTAAAGTGAAACATGCAGACACCAAAGGCGGCTGGCAAGCAAACTACGACTTGTGACGGAGACTTCATGAATGCAGACATGTCGCGGAGCGCGACGCAAAAGAAAAATGGTTAGGGGGGATGTCTCTGCTATCCGACTGTACGCGTGCCATTTGTGATCCCGGCCGACACCCTCTCTTCCAACACACCATCTTACCCATCGTCATGCGCACATGGCAAGGTGGCCGTTCAGACAGTTGATTTCGCAAGGCTTGCCGATTTTGCTTTGTCTGTTGCCTTTCACTTTCGATCGATATTGTTCAAGAAGCTGCTGCTGGTCTGGGAACGGTCCGAGCCAGATTCATGCGCTCATCTCGCCACTGCAGGGTCGTCAGCTACCAGGACACGATAGAGAGAGAAGCCATGAACGACTCACCTTGCCACAGGATATCGGCGCATACTTGGCTGGATGCGCCTCGTCCACGCACGTCGGCACAACGGCACACTCTGCGTCGTAGTTGAAGCCGAAGAAGAAGGGCATCGAGTATCTTGCGCCTGGTTTCCGGTTGTAGACGCGGTGTACCGTCGAGCGGAAGCGGTCGTTGGACAGCCGCTGCAAAAAGTCGGCAATGTTGACGACAAGCGTGCGCGGGTGTGGCGTGGCGCCGACCCATTCGTAGACAGGGTCGTCTTGCTTGTTGCTACCGTCGCCGTCTTTCGGGAGCAGCACCTCCAGGCCGCCGCTTTCGTCCTGCCACAGAAGCGTGAAGCACTGCATGTCCGTGTGTGAACCTATACCGACGTCAATGTCCTTTTTCGCATCGTCGCCCTGTGCCGTTGACTCCTGCGCCGCCTTCTCCCCCACCCCAGGATAGCAGATAAACAGCCCGTCGGAACCTGGGTACGTGGTAATATCGTCAAAGTATGTTTCGGGCAGCTCGAGCGCGAGCGCAAACAGCCGCACAAGGCCGCGCGACAGCTCCAGGCAGTTCTGCCACCAGGCGATGGTAGCCTCGTTGAAGCCCGACAGGTACTTTGTCTTCTGCTCCCAGGTCCAGGCACTGCCAGGCGACTGCGCGGGATCGCGCTCGGCCTGGGAGCCTTGGTGCATCGGGTCATACTCGGCCAGGTAGCGGAAGTTGAAGCCCTCCTTGAGGTCTGAATAGCGCGAACTGGCGTCAGTAGAACCACACATCATATATCAAATAATGCGGACAGTTCACACACACACACGCACCCTTCGTCTCAGACCGGTTGATAAAACTGCTGTAGATTGGCGAATAGCCATTTCCCCGCGGGTCGATGCGCGAATGCACTTTCATCTTGTCGTCCAACGGCTGCTGGAAGAAGCGCTTGGCCTGCGCGACCGCCTCGTCGGTCACGCTGTCGGGGATGCCAGAGTTGGCGACGTAAAAGAAGCCGGCACCCGTCGCGGCTTTGCGTATGGCAGCGGCGATGCGCTTTTTCGCCGCATCTGACGTGCCTTGCGTGTCGGGAAGCTGTGTGCTGCTGGAACTGTTCTTGTAGAACCACATGCCCTCGAGGTCGATGACGGGGATCTCGTCCGCGGTAGCCGGGCGCGTCGGTGCTTTTGACACGCGGCGGTACTCGTGCCCCGCAAGCGTGTTTAGCTGGACGCGTGTGTATTCGGGTGCCGCCATGTCGTCGATGATTGCGTCGTTGTCGTTTTGTACGTTGGCTCTTTGCGCGTATTATGGAGGGGCTGCAACGAGGCTGTGATCACCTAAGCCAATGCCGTGATCGGCTACTGCCTATTAAGAATTTAGACAGCTGCACGTAGACTTATGCATGTCATAAGCAAATCGACGACAACCAATCACCTTCATTTCTTTGACCTTCTTGGTGACAACAATCACTTTACATAATTGTTTATTATTTGCCAAGTAGACATTGTTATAAATTATGACTTAAACGACAGCGACTTCCAGTCTGAAGGGGGATACTTGTATTTCCTCAAGTTGTTCGGCGGGATTGGCGGTGTCAACATTAAAGACAGGCTAGGCCCTTAAAAGTCCTCTGGTAGACCAACCACTTGGAGGCTCTTCGTCCACAGCTTGCCCTCTTTGGCCGGGTCAAAAGCCCACGGTGCAAAGCCGTACGCAATGCCTTCATCACCCACAAAATCGTCGTCGACTGGCAACGCCGCGGCCAACGCGCAGTTCTCCAGGTAGACACCGCCCTTGCCCTCGAGTTCGCGTGCCACGGCGGCGAACACGCTCGTGGCCGCACCCTGTTCGGGGCTCCGCATGAAGGCTCGCAGCTCCGGCTTCTTGAGCGCCTCTTCTGTAAACTCTTCTGAATGGCGCTGCAGTGGCGTCCGGATGCCACCGGGCATAAGGCTGTAACCGTGGATGGCCTTTGTGGCTGAGCCGTACCTGCGGTCGATCTCGTTGGCCATGTAGATATTGGCCGTCTTGGACGCCGCGTAGCCGGCCATGGGCGTGTAGGCGCCCTCCTTCTCCAGCTGGAGGTCGTCCAGATCCGGCTTCGCCCAGCGGTGGCCCGAGCTAGCGACATTGACAACGCGGCTGGCAAAGTCGGGTGTGGAGCCGGCTTCGAGACGGTCGCACAGCAGGCAGAACAGGTAAAAGTGCGCCAGGTGGTTTGTGGCCATCTGCATTTCAAAGCCATCCTTGGTCTCGCGGCGTGTGGGCACCATCATGACGCCGGCATTGTTGATCAGGAGGCTGATGGCAGATTCGCGGCGGCGGATCTCGTCGGCGGCAGCCTTGACCGTGGAGAGGTCCGTGTGGTCCATGAACAGGACGTGCACACGGCCGCTGCTCAGAAGAGGTGCCAGAGCCTTCTTGGCCTTCTCGACGTCGCGGGCTGTGCAGTAGAGAGTGGCACCCGTGGCCAGCAGAGCCTCGGCGGTCGGGGGACCGATGCCCGAGGAGCAGCCCGTGATCACGGCGACCTTGCCAACGAAAGCGTTCTCGCGCTTCTCATCACGGATGATGTCGAGAGCGGTCGGACGGGCATCACCAGGACCCTTGAGGTCTGCCATGATATAGGAAGCAGCGTAGCGAGACATGCTTCGAAGTGTAGAAAGGGCGCAAAGTTAATGGAGATTGAGCGTTAGGTATAAGAAGGAAAGGGAATTTGACTGCCTGAGAGATGTACTATGAGTAACAAGAACGTGCAAGACGGCAACAGGATCCTGAGCGCTCTTTATACTTATATAGTCGAGCCATCTTCATCGAAGGCAGAGAGAAAAGCAGAAGAGGTGGGAAAAGCCATTGCCAAAGACTATGGGTGTTCCCCAGAAGAGCGGTAGTTCCTCGATGGAGCCGGACTTCGTGTTCGTATCGTTTGTACGCGTATACTTCAGATATGTCATTCGAAAAGACGCTGGCGATGCAGAACGTAGCCGGTTTGGCAAAGGCTTAACGGGCTGCAGTAAATGGCCCATAGAGTAACAGGTGACTACATGCTAGTGGAAGGTGCATTCAACACATGGATCCTCTCCATGGAAAGTATCTTCGTCTTGTCCCAGAGGCTCGCCCCTGCCCGACTCGTCGTTGTTGGCGCCAAGGCCGCCACCTTCCGAATTGGTTCCATTTGAAGGAGATTGTGCATGCTGTTCGGCAGGAGGTGTAAAGTGCTGACGATGCATAGCGCAAAGTCGTATGTCGTCTTTGATTACCGGAGTTTACAAAGAGTGTCGGCAGGTAGCCCGTGCGCCTTGCATTAGGCTTTGCACTGTCGGGAACGAATCAGCAGCCGCCTTGACAACAACGGCACACAAACCAACTGTCCCACCCATCTGCAGGCCTTCAGGGCGATCTGGACTTAATCGGTCTCAGGGCAGAATATGTCCGTGCAGCCTGGCAGTCTGGGGTTTGTTCTCATGTGACGACAAAGGACAAAGGAAGACGTCGTGTTCGTGCAGAGTACTTATTTTGTTTCTCCGGAGTTAAAAGCAGAATCTCAATTCTACGCGTCAGCAGAATTTTTTAGAGAGCAAAATAGCATTCCGGGATGTTTCGTAACCCATCCTCGTGCCTTGGCATTTTGATGCCATCATCTATCCGAGTTCAATAGTTCAGCTGCGGGTGCCTAGAAGAAATGTGTACATGAGAAGAAGAGTCCTTGTTTGCCACGAAGGCGAAGGTCAATGAGGAGAAGAGATGTTCGATAGGAAGTCATGTTGGTAGATGGCGTCGGTATACGCAAATAGAGTTACCATGGAACATAGGAGGTGAGACAGAAACTCATAAAACGATGTGGCTCGAGGAGCTGTCTCTTGTTGAAGACGAGTCCGAGCAGGTGCCGCCAAAGAACGCCATGAAAAGCACAGAAACCAACCAATGAAAATACAAGAGAAGAATAAAACAGGAAAACGAAATGTCGACAAAAGACCACAAACAAAAAGCCCGAGAAGATGATTAAGAAATGCAAACCCAAGATACGCGTAATAGATCATGTCCTTCCGTTCCGTCATTATGAGAGACTCTCTGTCCCTTTGGCAGTTGCCTTTTGTTGGCGTATGTTTTATAACGGATCACTAGCAGTCCTGAGACGTGCAGAACCGCCGCTCAAACTCGGCCACCAGCTTCGGCGTGATCTCGTCGCTGGTCATGCCCTCAACCTCCCACAGCACGCCCTGCCGCGCGTAGTGGTCCAGCAGCGGTGCGCTCGTTTCTTCAAACTTGTTGAAGCGCGCGCGGTAGACCGCCTCGCTGTCGTCGGCGCGGCGGACCAGCGGTTCGCCGGTGACATCGTCGCGGCCGGGGACCTTGGGCGCATTGAACGTCTCGTTGTAGACACGGCCGGACGGCTCATGGACCCAGCGGCCGCTGATGCGCGCCAGCATCACAGAAAAGGGCGTCTTAAGCGACACGACAAGGTTGATGGGCACAAAGGTGTCGAGCTGGGCCGCCTGGCTGGCCGTGCGGGGGAAGCCGTCGAGCAAGAAGGAAGCAGAGGGGTCGTCGGAGAGGCCAGTCGTCGAGGCAGAAGAGGAGGAGACTACAGTGCTTGTTGTCGGGCCCGGTGTGGACTGTTGTGAGAGGAACGCAGCGACGCCGGCCTCGGAGTCGGCTACCGTTTCGGGGTCGGCGCCACTGGACAGCCCTGCGGAGGCTAGGGTTATGACGGGTGGGCGGCCAATGTGAGTGAGCCAGCCGCGGCTGCTGAGCTCGTTGCGAATCAGGCGCAGGATGAGGTCGTCGGAGACGAGGCCACCCGCCTTCATGGTGCTCTCGACCTTGATGCCTGTGGGGGCGAAAAACGACATTTGTTAGCGGAGTCCGAGGTTCGGAGAGCAAGTCGCAACGCAAACAATACGGCAAAATACGTACCCAGAGGCGTCCGCGTCTTCACATTGTGTCGCAGCAGGTCGCCCGAGCTCAGATGCGCAAGCTGGGGGAAGCGACCCAAGAGGCGCTCGGACTGCGTGCCCTTGCCCACGCCTGGAGCACCAACGAGGATGACGCGCGCAGCCTTCTGGATTCGCATGTTATTGTGGCGAGTTGTTGAGAAAACGGGGATAAAACAAAACTAAAATGTAGCCGAAAAAAAAAACCGTCAAAATGATGAGAGATAAAAAAAGGAAGAGAAAGGACACGAACAATACGATTAAGGAATATGTGCTTTGTAAAATCGTAGGACTGGAAAGAGCACAGTAATATCGGACCGGCAGGAGATCCCCAACGAAAGTTGTCGAGGCAAGAGCGGGGGCCGAGAACACCCCATAAGCTGCAGGGGTGGGTCGTTTCCTTATTCGGCCCCTGCTAAACGGAGCATGGTTCACATGGGCGCACATGCCTCGCTCTTCCCAAGGCGCGCCTGCCTCCCTTTCCTTTGTCCGCTTAACCATGTGCTTTCGTGCGCTCCTCATCGTTCCTTCCCCCCATGCAGTTTAGCGCGCCCGCGTGCACCGCCAGATCTGTTTTCGCCCAGGGGAGCCAAGGCAACTGCTAAACTGCGGCAGGCGGCATCCGTCGGTCATTGCGGGGTGGTGGATCACGATTGGCCCGATAAGAGCTTCTCGTCAACAACGGCTTCATACGTTTCACTTGTTTTCGCATCACTCCGCACCCCTGTTCGCCGCCGTCCTGACTCTGATTACTATATTTCCCGGCTGCAATCTTGTCACGTCACAACCGACGCTCATTGCATGCACCAAACACCCACAATGGCTGTCGAGCCGGGCCTTTCTGCCGAGCAGGTGGCCGCCTTTGACCGTGACGGCTACCTTATCATCCCGGATGCGCTGCCGCCTGCGGCCGTCGCCGCCCTGCTGCAGGAGACGCACCGGCTGCTCGCTGAAGACTTCACGCTCGAGGGCCACCCGCTGACCAAGTTCCAGACGGGCGGCGACGACGGCCAGGAGCATGTTGGTGATGACTACTTTTTGGGGTCGGGCGACCAGGTGCGCTTCTTCCTCGAGGAGGACGCGTTTGATGCGACGACGGGCAAGCTGGCCAAGCCCAAAGAGCGCGCGGTCAACAAGATCGGCCACTACCTGCACGTCCTGAACCCAGTGTTTGCCAATGTGACATCCCCGAAAGACAAGGACACTGCCCCGGAATTTGCCGAGGCTCACCCCGTGGGACCGATCGCGCGGAGCCTCGGCTTTCGCGACCCGAGATGCCTCCAGAGCATGATTATCTGCAAGCAGCCCGAGATTGGCGGCGCTGTGCCGCCGCACCAGGACAGCACCTTTCTGTACACCGACCCGCCGAGCGCCGTGGGGTTTTGGTATGCGCTGGAGGACGCCACGGTGAGCAACGGCTGCCTGTCATTCTGGCCCGGCTCTCACAAAACGGCGCCTGTCCGCAAACGTCTGATGCGTCGGGACGATCGGACCGGCACCCACATCGTCGACAACCCAGGTCCACAGTTCCCAAAGGAGAGTGCCGCTCCAAGGGGCAGTCTAATCGCCCCCTCCGCCGAAGACGATGCGAGCAAATATGTACTGGGCGAGGTCAAGGCCGGCTCGTTGGTGCTGATCCACGGCAACCTGCTGCACAAGAGCGAGAAGAACACGAGCGACAAGGGCCGTATCATTTATACCTTCCACGTTATCGAAGGCCAAGGCACGACGTACGACGAGAAGAACTGGCTGCAGCCGCCGGCCGAGGGTTTTACAAAGCTATATATGCATGAGCTGCCTGGTTGATAAAAGAGACTAAGGTGTACACAATAATCCTACGTGACCACGACTCGTTTACAAAAAGCACCTGGAAGAGAAATGAAAAACGAAGAAAAAATCGTAAAAAAATTCAATAAAGAACCATATGACAACACAGACTAGGTAAACTATCAAGGAAAAGCTGTTGGTGGTACACAAGTAAATGCTCTGGAGAGCGGCCGCGTCCGCTGTCGGCTTTGCTTTTCCAAGTCCGTTCTTTTCATTCTGTTTACGTTGGGCCTTTCGCCCAACTACCGCGAGTAGGGGTGATAACCGCGGTTGCCACCGCCGCCGCCTCGGCCGCCGCCCCGATAGTTCGCACCAGGCCGTCCGGCGTTCTTCGGCCCGGTCGGCGCGTTAGCAGGCGGGGCATTATTGGGATCCATTGGCCCGTTGCGGTTGATGTCGTTGTTGTTACCGCGGAGGAAGCCGCCGCGGCCGCCTTGATGCTGGTTCATGTTGCCGTTGCCGCCGTTGTTGCCGCCACCATTGCTCCCGTCGTCAAAAGAGCCATCACCGCCGGCGCCGTTGCCCGCTCCCCACGGCGACTGGCCGCCGTTGCTGCCGCCGCCGCCGCCCGTGGCACTACCAGGACCGCCGCCACCCGGACCAACGCTGCCACCACGCTGGCCTTGTTCGTATTTGTTCTGTTCAAACATCTGCTGGTCCATGGCGTTGAAATTGCCGCGTCCACTGTTCGGCCCGTTGGGTCCTCCGGGCCCGCCACCAGGGCCACCCTGGAAGGGCTGTTGGCCCATCATCTGGGGCATCATGCCAGTGTTGCCAGGGCCGCCGGGACCCCCAGGGCCGCCGCCGTTGCGATTCATCATCTGTTGCATCTGCTGCATCTGCATCATCTGCATCATCTGAGGGTTCATACCAGGATTCATACCAGGGTTCATGCCACCCATACCGCCCATGCCGCCCATGTTGCCCATATTACCCATATTGCCCATGTTTCCCATGCTGCCCATGTTGCCCATGTTGGGCATATTCTGCATGTTGGGCATCCCGTTGCCGCCACCCATGCCGCGGTTCATGGCCATCTGCTGCTGCATGACGGCGAAATACTGCTGCATGCGTTGCCAGTACTGGGCCATGACCTGGGGCGTCATGCCGCCGGCCATGCCGCCGCCGCCGCCCATTTGGTTGTTGCCGCCTTGGTCGTCGTAGCCGCCCATCGGACCCTTGCGGAACTTGTTGCCGCCGGGGCCACCACGGCGGCTGTCGTCGTCTTCGCGAATGTTGCCGCGGGGCTGCGCCTTCTTGACCTCAATGGGCTTCCCGTGGATCTCGAGGTTCGTAGAGAGGCACGCCTCCACGCCCGCGTCGGATTCGAAGGTCACGAAGCCAAACCCACGCGGCCGGCCAGTGTCCTTGTCCATCATAAGCGTGGCATCGACGACGCGGCCAAACTGAGCAAAGTACTCCTTAAACTCTTGGTCCGTTGTCTCCTGCGAGACGCCACCGACAAATATTTTCGACGTCTTTTCCTGTTCGTCACGGGGAATGGCGCGCTTGGGATCGATCTGGACGGAACAGAGAAGAGAGCGACGTTAGTTCGGGCATCTTTGCTGCTGTTGTTTTTAACCCTTCCGCTTTCGGTACGTACAATTTTCCCGTCGAGGTAGTGCTCCTTGACCATGACAATGTTGACCGTCTTGGGGTCCTTGAACGTCAGGAAGCCGAAGCCGCGCGAGCGACCAGAAAGACCATCGCGCATAACAGTGCATTCGAGTACCTCGCCGAATTGAGAGAAGTAATCGCGGAGTGACTCTGTTTCCCTGTGTATTAGCCGACGCTGGCCTTGACCGATGGGACTGTGGCACGATGAGTGGCAGACTTACGGTCCGTTGTCTCCCAGTTCAGGCCGCCGATAAACATCTTTCTGTGTTGGAGTTAGCATCTGTCTTGTTTTCAGTTGTTGACACAAAGCTGGATTTGATAAAAGCAGGAAAACGAGCAAATACGAGAGAAACAAAGCCGATTGCCTTCGAACCAAAAACCATCCGAAATAAAAGCAAGGCTGCACTACAACCCGGGAATGAAGCAGCAAAGACACATACGCGAGCCGCCGACGGACTGCCGTCGAGTCATCCTCTGGCGTCCACGGCAGGGCACTTGCGGTCCAGTTGGCGTAGCCGGGGGACGGTGGTAAATGGGCGGTTTGTGCGGTGAAGACGTGAAGCAAATCATCTACCTCACAGAATTCAAACCTGTCGCTCCGCAAAAGCACAGGGTCGGACGCCATCGTGCTGAAAAGGAATGAGGTGTAGTCGGATGATGTTGATGCAGTTTTTCGTCGGACGAAGTACTGTGAGAGGAACTCGGGGAGTGGGAAAGTAATTGGGCATTTGGATTTGACAGCGTACGAAGAAAAGACAAGGAAACAAAAAACAGCAAAGGTTAGGAGTAGGCGGTAATGTTCGGGCGAAAAAAGGTGAGAACGACCTGAGGACAAAGTGATGGCAGGGTTGGGAGGCGCACTGGGCTGATAGGCAGAATACAAAGGAGGCCGATGCAAGAAACACAATGACAACAATAGACTCAAAAAACATAAAAGGCCAAGGTGACAAGATAGACGGTGATGCAAAAGCACTTCACACGGCAACACAGATTGTCTGCTCAGAGTTGCGGTGTGTTTGTTGTTGATGCTTCGGACACGCCTTGACATTTTTGGCCTCCTATTCTCTGACTCTTTTTCTTCTTTCTTCTTTTGTGAGTCTGGAACACTCTTTTTCTTTGACTGTTTTTCTTGAAGAGCTGTCTGACTGTCTGTTTGCTTCTGCGGATATGCTGTCTGCTGTCTGCTGTCTGCTGCCTGCTTGCTGTCTGTTTATTTGTCTGGGCTCTCTGGCAAGTCATGGCTACCGAAAAGCTAGGTACTTGTCTGAAGTGCTCCTGTCTGTCCAGCTCTTTGCATACAACAAACCAGCGTGGAACCAATGGCCGTCTCGTCTTTTGGCTACTCAGCACGGAAAACGACCTGTCTGGGCATTGTCATCCCCAGCTCCGCCATGGAGGCCAGTGGGCAGGCACCCAATCAGTCTATGGGCAGATATACAGCGGGTAGAGAGTATAAACACGTTCGTGACTTGGAGCTCATTGATATTGAAATGGCTCGGATTCGAAAGGACAACAAGGCTCGCCAGGCTTGACCTCGCTCTTTCGCTTCGGCCACAGCCGACCGCAGGATCAGAAACTGCCCCCGAGTGCTTCCCCGCCAAACACCTCCATACTTTCCTTTGCACCCCCATTGGCAAATCGAGGTTGTATTTCTCTTCCTTTTTTCTTGTCCAAATCACTGACCGAGACCAGCAGCTTCCCTCCTCTTCAAACCAGAGCCGCAAGGGAAAAATTGCATATTTGAAACTTATGGGGTTTAGGCAACAAATGAAGAACCAAAAATGCCACGCAAAAGATACACGAACGCAATCGACCATAAGACGAGGTGGCCCTTGCAACGCAACAATCATAATCGCAAAGGAAATATACGTACCCATCTTCTTTGGAGTTGGGACCAACCTTGTTCGCCAGCGGTCCTGGCCTTGGGCCGCCAGAAAATTGGCCACCGCCGCTTGGCTGTGGTGTCTCTTCTGAGTGCTGACCAGCCCCGAAACCGGACCCGGCACCAGTTCCTGCGCCGGCGTTTGTGCCGGGACCAGCGTTCTTATTGCTGCTGCTGCCGTTGCCAAGGTTGAAGTCCACTTCATCGTCGTCGTCGTCGTACTGCATAGCAGAGTCGTCGTAGTCGCCAACGCCCTGGTCGCCGGCGTCATCGCCGTAACTGTCATTGCTTGCCGGATCCTGTGCGGCAGCTGGTGCAACTACGGGCGGAGCGGTTTGTGCGGGCGCTGCGGCGGGCGCTCGGGATGCGGAGGGTTCGTCATCGTTGTACCTGTGGGTGAGACACGTCAGCAAACGCATTCAATTCGGCCGCCCTTCTTTGCCACTGAGATCAAGTCCAGAAGAGTTCGCGCTGCTCCCATCCACATAGCCGATGAACACTCACAAGTCGGCGAAGAGCTCGTCGTCAAAGTTCTCGGGCTCTGTCATGGTCGCGGCTGTGTTTCGGGGACGATGCGTCGCGAAGCTGTGCGCCGAGAGCTGTTCGTTTTCTCTATCCTACAACAAACAATTCGCGCAAATGCGAAAGAGGCGCAAGTCGTAAATACTGATACAGGGAGGCTGGTCGGAACGTTGGATTGGCGATGGGTGCAAAAGAGAAGTGAAGTTTGTAGGAAGCAGAAGAGCGGAGCGCTGCGGGTAGCTTCAACGAAAGAAAAGGGCAGGGCAGTTAGGTATCTTAATGGGTTCGGAGGGCGCCGCATCATCGCACCTTCCCCTCCTGAGCTCACTAATGTAGCATGCTGTAGTGAGGAAGGAACCAACAAGCCGGCGCACACGGGGGTATCTTTCTGCCTGAGGCGATGAGTCGTCCAAAATCATACCGTGCGCAAAATAAAACATACTGTATAATGCACGGCACGGGTCCACCGAGCACCCAGCTCACATGCGCAATCCCCCGCCTGTGAGCCACCTGGCCCCAAACCGGCTAGTGGGACTCAACAACAGCCAATTCACCTCGAACCATACTGGGCAAGCCGCCTGCGGAACGAACGACGAGACGAAAGCGGACATAGAGAGTGACGTCGATGTGCCTTTGAGCTCCCAAACGACTGAGAAACGGACAACAAGCGCTCGCACACTGCAGCAGGACTTGCAGACCGACCCGCTTCGCCATCGACAGAGCTCTAGACTCGTGGCCAAGGACTCGCCCCTCTCCTTTACCGTCTTGCCGACCTTTCGTGACCGCCGTTGACCGACCGTCTGATCCAGCTCGACCTTCCATTGCCTGGCCGTTTTGTCCACAATGAGCATATGAACCCGTCACGGCGACCGCCCCAGCAGCAGAGCCGTCCCCAGCGCTGACTCCGAGATGTTCTCTTCCTCGGGCGGCGGCAAGAAGCCGCCGAATCAGCAGGTGAGCTGCCTTGCCTGTTGACTGAAGGTCCTCAAGTCTATGTGACAGTGCTCCGTGCTGACAAGCTCCCAGCAGCAACAGGAGATGGTGCAAGTTGGTATGTTGACGTCGGGCCTTGTCGTATACAGCATTGCACCGTTTGTTTACTAACCTTCTGCTTTCGTTCTCTCGCGCAGACAGAGCCGAGTAAGTGCTTTTTGCGCCTGTCCTGTGCGTCCGCTGCTGTCATGCATACGTACTGACACATCTGCAGTTCCACATCACCCTTCTGGCGACCGCCGCCCCGCGAGACCGCGCCTAAGACGAGCTCTGATAGCGGCGGCCGGCGCGATCCCGGTATTGTCGTCGGAGCAGCTTACTCGCACGCCGACATTCTCAAGTTTGATTCTCTGTATGTCGCCGATGGACTTTGCGATTCGGACTCTGGGTACTGAGCTACTTCCAGGGTCCTTTATCACTGACACGGAGTTTGTAGAAACATATCAAGCTCGTCCTCTGGACGACCACGAACTCCACCCTCCTCCAGCAAGCAACATACCGCCCCTAACAGCCACAACACGCCACCATCAAAACACGGCGCGTCCAAGTCGAACCCGCGGAATTACAAGAACTTTCTGACGAACACCGACGACGATTGGAACGCTGATGAGTCGGAAGATGTATACGGCTACGACGAAGACGACGGCGACGACTTTGGTCTGCCGAGCCTGTCCAATATGAAGCGACGAACAAGGCGGTTGGCGGCCGCGGCAGGAGGCGGCGAGGCGGGTAATGGAGGTAACAGACGATCCACCACAGTACCGAGCCGTGGTCTTGGTGGCCGTGGCAGTATCAGTGGCAGTTTGGGTGGCAGTTTTGGAGGCGGAAGCGGCGGTCACGGCGACAGCCAGAGCGGCAGCCATAGCGCGTCCCTCGCGACACTGGACCACGACGACTTCGGCGATGACATGGCGTCACCCCTCGGCGGGTTGCAGACCCGGCGCTACTCAAACAGTGCCGACATCGCTGTCGAGCGTCCCGCGCCGTCCTACCCGGTTCCCAAGAAGAGCGAAGGCAAGATCCTGCGGCCGCAGTACAAGGACATTCTGCGCGACCCAGCCAACGCGTTACACCTGATTGACCACACTGCCATACCACCAAACGCGACCACTAAGGAGATTGAGGCGATCAACTCGCGAATACACCGAATCAACCGTTTCAAGAAGCTGCTGCAGGCGTCCACCATCCCACTAGCCGACCTACGGTCCCTGGCCTGGTCGGGCATCCCGCAGGAGGTACGGGCCATGACCTGGCAGCTGCTCCTGAGCTATCTTCCGACCAGTAGTGAACGCCGGGTGGCCACGCTGGAACGGAAACGGAAGGAATACTTGGATGGTGTGCGACAGGCGTTTGACCGAAGTGGTAATGGTGGTGGTGGTGGTGGTGGTAGTGGACTGTCCGGCAGTGCGGCCGGACAAAAAGCGTCGGCCAGCAACACGCCCTCAAGCAGCCGCGGCCGGGGACTGGACGAGGCCGTGTGGCACCAGATCAGCATTGACGTGCCGCGGACGAACCCGCACATTGAGCTTTACGGGTACGAGGCGACGCAGCGGTCACTGGAGCGCATTCTGTACGTGTGGGCGGTGCGGCACCCGGCGAGCGGCTACGTACAGGGCATCAACGATCTGGTGACGCCGTTCTGGCAGGTGTTTCTGGGCGTGTACATTGCCGACCCAGACATTGAAACGGGCATGGACCCTGGACAGCTGCCTCGGGCGGTGCTCGATGCGGTGGAGGCGGACTCGTTCTGGTGTCTGACCAAGTTGCTGGACGGCATCCAAGACCACTACATTGTGGCGCAGCCGGGGATCCAGCGACAGGTGGCTGCGCTGCGGGACCTGACATCGCGGATCGATGCGCCCCTGGCCCAGCACCTGGAGAAGGAGCACGTCGAGTTCATCCAGTTCAGTTTCCGGTGGATGAACTGCTTGCTGATGCGCGAGATCAGCGTCAAGAACACCATCCGCATGTGGGATACATATATGGTAAGTCGTCGTTCGCCCTCTCCTGTTCCTGGCCTTGTGTTTGTTTGTTTTCTTCTTTTCCTTTTCCTTTTGTTCTATATGAGGGCAGAAAATGTAGCTGACATATTATAACAGGCCGAGGAAAACGGCTTCTCCGAGTTCCATCTCTACGTCTGCGCCGCGTTTCTCGTCAAGTGGTCGAGCAAGCTGTGTGGCATGGACTTCCAGGAGATAATGATGTTCTTGCAGTCGCTGCCAACGCGCGACTGGACGGAAAAGGACATTGAGCTGCTGCTGAGCGAGGCCTACATCTGGCAGAGCCTGTTCAAAGGTTCGTCGGCGCATCTACGTGGGCCATCCAACCGCACCCCCTCCACCAGCGTGCAGTTGTGAGGGAGCTGCTGTGGTATGTCCATGTCTACTGTCATGTTTTTTTGCCTAGCATTTTTTGTGCAGCTTGCAACTTTTGCCTGCGAGTCTGTTTATTTCCTCGAACTTGCATTTTTCGGGCTACGAGTCCTGCGCTTGCCTTCTTTACGTTTTTCTTAATAGCAGGCCACATTGTTGCATACATACATGTACAGGCTGTCATTGGTGTGTGTCGTTTGTGTTTGCTTCTATAGACGCGTCAGGCTTTCACGGATTGACGTGGCTCTCGTGAAATGTGGGATGTGTGAGTTGAGTACATAGAAAAGTACGCCCTCCGCAGGCAAGAACATTGAATGGATCTGCCAACTTACAATGACCGACAAAGGGAACGATCAAAAATAGAGAACGTACACGATAACGTCACGGATATCAGAACGAGGACATGTTGGAGTTGAAAACAAGGAGAGTCATCCTCCGGGTGGCAGCGTGCCCAGTGATTGTTACGTGTAACCACTCGCTCTTCCTTTTCCTTGTCGCTGCAGCCTCAGATAGAATAGGCCACGACATCGAGAAACGACGAGAAGGAAACACGAGACATTCATACAAGAGACGGCTAACACAAAGCAAGATAAAAATGTCAAAAGTGAAAAGTAAAAAAGAGCACGAAGCAAACTACAAGTGGACCTTTGGAAGCCCACGCCCAACAGCGTTTCGCCATTATCATCAGATGACGTGATTCTGACGCGAGCAACGCCCGAATGGAGGGCGTGCACTATTCAAAACGCAAAACACAAATATGTGGCAACATAGGAGGCTTGAAAGCGGACGAAACGATGGCCTTAAGATCATGTCCTGTACATCTTCCAGATCCCTACCTTTTGGAAGCCTGGCAACGACACTGATAGTGTCCATGAGCGGGAAGGATGGACAAGCAAGTGGCAACTCGGTTCATAGTTTCCTTCTGTCTACTCTTCTGAGTCTAGAACACTTTTTGTTCGTCATTGGGCAACGGTTGCACGGTCGGGCAACGACGTTGGGTAAGAAGCCAAGGGACAAATATCGAGGACATCCAACTGATATCAACGACATTCGATGGTCCCACCATGCAAACATATACACAAAACAAAACGACAACGAAGGGCTACACAGGGCACCACACTTACCAGCGTCCAGCGTACAGGCGGACTACTTTATGAGCTTCTACTTTGTGTCTACGACATACTTGGTCCCCCGAGCAGCCAATGCTCTCATTGAACATTTAGACAGTGCCGTAGCTTGTAGAAGAACATCTGAATGACAATTTGATTAATGGTTGAGCAGCTGTGAAGATGCGTAGAGATGGAAGATGCCGTACCAAACACGTCGACTCGACGTCGACGTTAGACCTTGAACGTCGACACGATAGCTCGTGATGATCACAGTATTTACTAGAAAGACATGGCTACGATGTCATTTGTCTTCATTTGGATGTACCGGTACTTGCTCAGCCAGTCCTTTTCCTCATGTCTTCATTTAGATGAGACGCGTTTTTCCCCTGCAGACAGAATGTCTGGACAATGCAAAATGCTAAAGTACATCAGAATACCATGCAATGCAGTATGCAACGCGATATGCAGCTTCGTACTGCGCATGAACGGGACAAACGGCTGGTGCAGAATGCTTGCAACCAGGTCAATGGTCTCGTTTGCCCGAATGTATTTTGGTGTTTTGTCTTTGCGATGGCCGTTGTTCTTCGGCACCGAGTCTGTCAGCGCCCGACTCTTCTTTTACGGCATCCGAAACGCGCAACAGATACCTGACTCTTGTGAGGACTTTTCTTTTAGCGATATCATGCCATATTGTTGCCCTTTACGCGGCCTCTCCGGACCGTCTTCGTAATTTTGAACTCACACGTCGCTGACTCCAGCATACACATCTAGGCAACAACCAAACGAGGTAAAATAGTGTGCAAAATACGAGGAACTAATGTGATGAACTGAACACGAACGTGAAGCGTGGCACATAGATTCCCACGCAGATTGATGTACGCGTACGTCGTCTGCATCAGGTGCACTAGCAACATTCTTTAGGTCATGTTGTCAAAACGCCCTGACGCAGGGATATCGCAGGCAGTTGGTAGTACACAGGGCATCCCTACTAATAGGGTGAGCTGTCTGATGGTCGTTTGAACGCGGTGATGCTAAAATAAACGTGGCTTAGAGGCGAGAGATGGGCTTCTGACCTACACGGCCTCGACGAGCGACTCGACTGGCACGAAGGGACCTTTCTCACGGTGCGTCCAAAATAAGAATGAGATAGAAAGTAAGGGAATAGAAGGACAATACAAGGCATATTTGAAAAAATAAACAAAATGCAAGGGTGAGGCGACACGTTCCTGCCCATCCCGACAGAGATGGACGGATGTAGGAAGACATATTCCGTATGCTCCCTGGATGACAGGTCAGGCGCAGATAATATGTGAGACAA